GAGGGAGGAGAGAGGAGAGAGAAACATTGAGGTAGGGAGGGAGGAGAGAGGAGAGAGAAACATTGAGGTAGGGAGGGCTGGAGGGAGGAGAGAGAAACATTGAGGTAGGGAGGGAGGAGAGAGGAGAGAGAGAAACATTGAGGTAGGGAGGGAGGAGAGAGGAGAGAGAAACATTGAGGTAGGGAGGGCTGGAGGGAGGAGGAAGCGAGAGGTGATACCTGAAGAAAGGATGCTTCTTGATCACCAGCGCTCCTCCTGCCTTCCTCGAGCCGAACCGTTTTTCGTGTCCACCACCTTGATGGATGTCAGTGCATTGACGAGAACAAACGAACTAGGAAGCAGGAGCAGGACAACAACAGTAAGAGCAGGAGAAGGAGCAGCAGGAGCAGGAGAAGGAGCAGCAGGAGCAGCAGCAGGAGCAGCATGAGCAGGAGCAGGGGCAGGTGGAGTACCAGGAGGCGACGGATGAGGTTGGAAGAAGCAGAGTTCAAGTGCTCAGGAAGCTGAAATTTGGCCTGACAGAAGATAACCTCAGCTTGCAAAACAAGCTCAAAGGGAGGAGGAGGAGGAGGAGGAGGAGGAGGAGGAGGAAAAGAAGGAAGAGAAGGGAGGAGGAAGAAGGCGACAGGTCAGAGGAGGAGGAGCAGGAGGAGCAGGTCAAGTAACTTGATGCTGACCATGCAGATGAGGGTGAGGCCGACGCGCGGGTCCTCGTGGTAGAAGGGCGGAAACCCGCAAAGCATCTCATAGATGGCGATGCCGAGAGACCACCAGTCGGAAGCAAAGTCATGCGGGAGCTGCTTGACGACCTGAAGAGGAGGGGAAGAGCATGAGGAGAGGAGAGAGGAGAGAGGAGAGAGGAGAGAGGAGAGAGAGGAGAGAGGAGAGAGGAGAGACGAGCGGAAAAGGAAAGTGACAGCGTGGTGGTGGTGGTGGAGGAGGAGGAGGAACTAGGAGGGCAATGCGAACACACAAGAACAAGGCTGGACGAGACGCTACAGTTACCTCAGGAGCAAGATGAGTCCACCGAACTCTCGGGACTGAAACCTGAATGGTGTAAAGGAGTTGAAGAGAAGCAGAACAGCGAAGGGGGAAATACAACAGCTGGAGAAGGGAGGAGGGAGGGAGAGAGAGAGGGAGAGAGGGAGAGAGGGAGAGAGGGAGGAAGGGATGAAGGGAAGGAGGAAGGGAGGAAGGAGGAAGGAAATTTGTCTTTCCTCGCTGTGGTTTCACCTCGGAGAAGGTCGACGCTACTCCTTGGGTCATGTTTGATGCAACGTAGAAGCAGCTCTTGACGACTTGCCAGTTCTTATCTCTCGCTTCACTGACGTCCAGGGGGTCAGGAGGAGGGGAAGGCGATCAGGTCAAGACCTCCTCCTATAGAAGAATTCGATCATCCCCAGGGCAGGGTGCGGGGCTATAGTGCAGTTGCGATGCCGTTTTGCTGGTTTGGCCTCGACGGTGGTGGCTGACGTAAGCAGCTGTCAAGGAGGAGGGAGGAGGAGCGAGGAGAGGAGAGGAGAGGAGAGGAGAGGAGAGGAGATGAGAGGAGAGAGGGGCAGAAAGGGGGAGGGGAGGGGAAACGGCAGGGAGGGAGGGAAACTCGTCCCGCTCTTCATACCTGCGCTGAAGCTCATTAGCTTCAACCTTCCCTCAAGATCTAGCCCCCTGTCAAGTTGGAAGAATGAGGTAGACATGAGAGTGCTTTCATCGCAGGTCTTACATGCTTTCAAGGTGCAGATTTCGATGTACAAACCCTTTGGAATGCAGGTAGTGCAGAGCTACGACAGCCTGTGCGGCATAGAGTTGACAAGTAGCGAACTTGTAGCGCTGAGGAAGAAAGGCCGTCAGCAGGGAAGCAGCAGGAGCCGCGTACCATCTCAGGCTGCATCCTGAGAAACGTCTTGAGATCTCCACCTGCCTTCTCATCAGAGAGCACAAGCTCTGCTTTCCTCGCGTACCCAGCGCTGGCTCCATCAGAATGTAGAGGTGCTCCTCGTCGTGGAGGGTGCAGTTGAGCGGCACTCCAACGATGAAAGGATGGGCCAGGTAGAGTTGTCCAGTGATCGTGTCCCTGATAAGCTTGTCACATAGGAAACTGCAGTAGACAACAACAAACCCGTTCTGCAGGCAAGACTTCTCCTTAACAACGTCGTTCAACTGCCTGATGTGCAACAATTTCCTCTTGTCGTACGACTTGATGGCAACAAGAGCCCCGTTGAACGGGTCAAACTTGAGCCGCACGACTCCCTTCCCTCCCACTCCCAGCCCGCCGCGCACCTACCACACGATCACCTTGCTCCTACACGCACATGCAGTTTCGTCCCTACCGCGTACCCATCCACGTCTCTTGGCTCCCGAAGCTGAGAGACTGACATGCTGCTCCCATCCACTAGCCTCCTCGCTAGCCCTCGAGCCTGGAGGGGACATATTCCGACCTCCTTAGCGCATTTCCTGCCGCACCGGCAGGCCAGCCAGTCAAAGGAGGAAGAGAAGATCTGTCCTTCCCTGATGGGATTCCGCAGCTCGACAGAATCATTCTTCTCTATGCTGAAAGCCACTTCCTTGCTCGCGCCATGCACGCTGCCTTGCTCGGCGTTCTTCAGGATTGCAGGCATCCGAACGCCCCCCTGAGCTCGCTTCTCTTCCTCCTTCCTCCTTGATGCCGGGCCTTCAGCGATGGGAGGTAGGACCGAAGCCGCATGCTTCAGTGGATCCTCTCTCCGTGCTGACTCCTCTGAGATGGAAGCCGCTCCTACCATCCCAGAGCGATCGCGAGCTCCATCGTCAGATGCTGGAGCTGCCTCCGACTCTTCCAGGCCCTCAAATCCTCTCAACTCTCTTGCTTGCTCTGCTCCTGTCCCTCCCCCTTCCCTTCGCATCCACCTGAACATCCGAAAGTTAAGTATCAGCTCATCAGAGCTGCAAGCATCAGTGTGTTGTCAGCTCGACGCGTTGAAGAGGAGCGAGTGCTGGTGCCTATGGTGGGGAGGCGATGTCAAACCTTTCAACGGATATCGGCGGCAGACCTTTCGAGTGACCGTACCGGCGGGGACCCGGGCGGCCGCGGCCGCCCGGCGACTCAGTGACGGACCGGATTGAGCGGCTGTGCGACAGTGTCAGGGTCGGCCAAGCCTCCTCGACTCTCATTATTGTCCTCGTACTGATTTTTAACTTAACTTTGAGTAAAAAGAGCGGCGGGTTGCTGAGTCACTCAGTGGCCGTGAGGCCTGCAGCCCTGTCACCTTTGGTTTACCGTACTGTACCGGTGACCGTCGGCGTACCGCTGAGGGACAGGAGAGTTTTGTTAGTCACGACTCTTTCAAGGGTCCCGGGTTAACCGTGAACCGTTTGAACAGTGTCAGGGTCAACTTGGCAAGCCTTGATTCACTCTCCGACTGATTCAGTGTCCTCATCTTTAACTTAACTTTGAGTAAAGTTAACTCGGCGCTATCAGTATCTTTTACTAGCCTAGCCCGAGTGCCAGGCCCAGTGGGGCACGGCGGGGCGCCGCAGGAGATCCCGGTGGCAGCCTGCGCGCGGCGGCGCCCGGCCGGGCGCGGCCGGCCCGGGCCGGGCCGCCGCAGCCTGTTGTCGAAGTTGACAGATAAGTTAACGCCTTTGACTAGAGGACGGCGGCCACAAGCTCCTGGCTCATCACCTTCTTTACTCATCACCAGTCTACTTGAATTCTCCGAAACTTGAAAAGTATTTTTAAGATGTCAACTATATGTATTTTAGCACCGATCGCGACAGTACTGTACTATTATTGGCTGAAAATAATAATGTATTGACTGGCAACTGCTCATAGAGCCCTACCTCTGCCTTCGCCGGAATTTTTTCTTTTTTTTCCTCCTTTCCGACAAGTTGAGTAAAGTTTTGTACCGGTTTGTTGAAAATCTTTCCACCCCACAGTCGCAAACGCCCGAAGTCAACATGGGGGCGGTGGTAAGGGGGGGTGCTTGAAAAGGGAATTGGTGAGCAAGGGAGGGGTAGGGGTCGGTGCAGGTTTAAAAATCTTGTAAAGAATGTTCCGCGATTGTGAACGGATACGCGTGTACGGATTTGGAAGGGCCGCGCTAACGCCATGGGACGGGCGAGAGCTTCCAACGCAAACAAGAGGCTCGGGATCCTGTTTGCTCGAGCCGTAAGTGCCTGCAAAGTTTGTTGCTAAGTCTTCTGCGCTCCTGTTTCATCCAAATCTTATTCTTGTCGTGCAAAATTTGTTGTGACAAAGCTGACTGTGCTCTACTTTACAGGTGACGGCAGACGTGAAAGAAGCGAGCAAGTTTCGATCGTCCTACACTCTTGACAGAACCGGGAAGTTGTCTCTCTTTCGAGCCTTGTCTGCATTCATGCCATCAGCCATAAGGAATGAATGCAACCACGTCGGGAGGCAAGGCCTCACGTTGGTGGAATACAATAAGTGTCTGGAGCAGAATGGTTTCCCCAAGGTGAGATCAAGAAGCCCATTCTTAGAAGATGTGGAAAATTCCCAGAGTAAACATGCTCGAGGTATCTCGCGCTAACTTTTTTGTTTCAACTGATTTTCGGATAGGAATGAAATATTTCTTCGTGTGCAAGCGATGGTTGAATCCAAAACATTGCAATGATTTGAAGCTGCTGGATGCCGGATGGGAGGTTCTGAAAGACTTCTGTCCTGCACAAGATCTCTCGACGCTAAAGGCAAAATTCCTGCTCGTGTGCCAACAATTTCACGATGCTTGGGAAGAGGTACGCGTGCAAGCCTTGGCTTCTAAGTCATTGGAAATCGAACTTCAGGAATATGAGTGTGAACGAGCCCAGGACCGAGATCCTTCTTTTCTGCAGCCATCATCCTCTACTGTTTGCAGGATACACAATTCAAACCGTCGCTGCGAAAGTCACACACACAATTACGAAGGTGATACAGGGGAAACGGTGTCCATGTTTCACTACATTCCTTGTGGTCAATTAGCATCGGAATGTGCATCACTCAAACAGAACTGCTCAGGGACATGCCCAAGAACTACTTGTGAGGAAGATGATAACAACCAAATCCAATTTTTTGAAACACAAAAAGAATGGCCGGAGGCAGAAATCAACGATATTCTGGGTCCCGAAAGCTACGGAGGACAAACGGAACAACATGATGTTTATTTTCCAATGGTTCAGGAATTTTGTGACAGCGAGTGTCAGATTTGTGCCGTAAACATCATGCCAGTTTTCGACGGTAACCGCCGGGTGGACTGCAGTGAGCTGACTGACACCAGTTCACCCTGGTTTGATCGGACGACGTAACTTGTAATGTATCTTCTTCAAGTGACTCCGTCACCGTATCAGTGAAGCTCTGGCAGTCAGAGCAGCATCATCATCTAAGTGGATCATGAGTGTGTAAAGATTGGCCGCTCAGCCTGCGGTGGATCGCCGAGTCATCTCCCGGCTAGAACACTGTCATGCACCGCTCAGTTGATGGTGATAGGTACTACGGTACAGTCTCCGTGACTTGATGAATTAAAGCAGATGTATGTTCAACAATTTTGAGTAAAGGTGTCATGGTTCAACGTCTCAGTTGTCATTCACTAATGATCACGGCGGGCTGCCATGATTGTTTGCCAGTCCACGGTCATACTGCGATGCTTCTCGCCTCCCTCCGGACAGCTATCCAAGCTATTACTTGGTCTGCATTCAACGAGGAAGAAGCTGTTCCAGTGGAAGAAGACGACATCTCCATGCTGCCCTTGGTGCGAGGGAAAGGAGGAAAGCTGGGTACATGTCCAGCCTGCCAGTTAACAACTTGAGCGCATGGTGGTCCTGTCCTCACACACAACAGAGTAATGGAAACAATCAAGGGATGCTTGATACAATGCTGGAAGAAAAAAACCATTGAACATGAGATTTGATGGCAAACACCAATCAACTCTATAACAGGGCTAGGACTGTGTGTGCACCTGAACATGGCAATCTCATACCGGATGGGCTCTGCTACTTCAGAAGGTCCAATCACATTGTGCTAATGGAGATAGCACGAACTTCAGAGTTCACTGGCGAGGGAAGCAGCCTGGCAAATCTGAAAGCGAAGTTTCAGGAGAAGGAACAGAAATATGCAGCACTGCGGGCAGAGATGACAAGCCTAAGCAAGAACACTGAAGTAGCATCATGGAGCAGCAATGGACTACAAACTTCCGCAACCTGCTTATGGACGAGGATATAATCGACAGAGTCATGACCAAGGTAGTCATACAGCTGCTCGATGTGCAACACATGCTGTGGACCTCAAGGGGACGAGGAGATACAACCAACGAACCGGAACAACGGTGAGATAATCAGGAGACTGATAGGGATCAGGGTACCAAGGACCTGGCCAGCAAGAGGAACGAGAGAGACGGCGAGAAGAACAAGCATGAAGGATAGAGAAGGATACAGTTACAAGACGACAGGGTAAAGATCAACGGACAGACCGAGGTAGGGGAAGGCTCGCAGGCAAGCCACTTGAGATCAGCAACCTCGGCCCGGCCCGCCAGGAGTATGCAGACTGGCTCGAACGGAATGAGAGCTGTAGAAAGCAGGATCAGTAGACGCTTGTCATTGCAGTAAATGTAGCCAGACTACAACTCGATATCTGCTGAGACATCAGTAACGAGCACATGCGCTCACATTGCATCTCGCGTTCATAGAAGCAGCCTGCTCTGTAGACAAGACCACTGGGTCACGAATGCAACCGGTGGAAGGTAAGAGCGGGCAGGGCTTCTTTCTTTGTAGACTTGGTGGAGCATCGCGAGTCAAAGCTACGAGTCGTAGGAGAGCTGGACAGCAGCTTGTCCTGCAGAAAAGTTATTTCTGACATAGTCTATTCTGATACTAGAACGTTTTGTTATAGCACGTCGTATTATGTAGTGAGTAGGAATAGCTATCAATACCAGTTTGAGGCGATACAAGTATGAGGAAATACTGACATCAATCGCGCTTTCTCTTCTATTGTACGTGCTAATGACTCTTCTCTTTCAGATGCTACCATTGCTACATGATGGCTTCAAGATCGCCAATCCATGCCTCAACAGAATGAATGCTGGATTGAACTCAAGGAGATATAAATATCAACATCCAAATATCATAGAGTCAGATGACATTCTCAGCTTTCCGAACGCCAGTCAAACTTGTAAGCCCAATCAACGACGACCTTGAGAAAGGGCGTCAGATGACAGGCAGTTATGTATGAAACAGAAACATGAAACTCAAGTTGCAACTCTCTGCACGCAAAATCCACGTCGGGGGAGAAAGACATTCGAGTCAGCGCTCTGCGTGGATGCTTAGCGAGTGCCACCGTACAAAGGCTTTCTTGCACTTCATCCATCCCTTGTACACGTGTCACAATCTTACTGCGCGGTGTTATGTGCGAGAAACTTACAACATCATATCTTACAATCGCAATAGCCAAAGCAAAATGTGGGGTACAAAGAATCTACTCTCGTTGTGTACTCTCTGACATGGGCTGCTATTCAGACAGACAGGCTACAGATACCACTTCTCTTGGCCTGGTAACACTCGACTGTAACAACGGACCACAAGCTACTCACGCACAAGCAAAAGGCACAATGCAGTACTAACGGCCAGCTACCGAAGCCCAAGTACTTTCCGACTCTCCTCCGCCTCGACCAGTGAAACCCCTCTGCCCAGCATGAAATAACGGCACGTCGTGTTTTCTAGTCCCAAGAGAAGTTGGAGCCGGGGAGGGGAGGGCCCTCAGAGCCTGACGAGGGTGCGAGGACAAGGCTCCTCGCGCTGCCGCCATCCGATCCGATCCAGTGAGTGGGCAAGGCTGAGCTGAGAGCAGCGAGAAGCAGCACCCTCCATCTGTTCTCGTGTACGCCACTAGCTACCCCGACAGCCACGAGGCGTGCGGGCCGGCTCAAGTTTTGATTGCGCTGGATCAGTTTATCTAGCCATGTAGAGGACACCGCGGCTCATCGCAATGCTCTCCAATAGTCTCATCATATCGCCTGTGATAAACTGCTTCAACAGCCCGTGACAGCCTCCCCCCCACTTCCCGTCCTCGCCCTTCCTCTCGTGCCCTCGTCCCGTCTTCTTCTTGCTTCGAGTCAGCTGGTCATTAGCCCTGCGCAACATGTCTTATGACAGTATATGGAGCACCTGTTCACAGATGTCGCGGACGTCGCCGTCAGCGTCAACCTGTTCTTTTGCAACATGTTGCGGGCAACTACATCGTGTACGCCAACTTTGATCCTGTGCCTCTTGCTGAGATCTAACTGACCATCCCACAACTATCGTCCTACGACTCGTAGCTTTGACTCGCGATGCTCCACCAAGTCTACAAAGAAAGAAGCCCTGCCCGCTCTTACCTTCCACCGGTTGCATTCGTGACCCAGTGGTCTTGTCTACAGAGCAGGCTGCTTCTATGAACGCGAGATGCAATGTGAGCGCATGTGCTCGTTACTGATGTCTCAGCAGATATCGAGTTGTAGTCTGGCTACATTTACTGCAATGACAAGCGTCTACTGATCCTGCTTTCTACAGCTCTCATTCCATTCGAGCCATTCTGCATACTCGCGGTCTAGCCCAGCTTCGTCAACAATCTTTTTAGGCAGTCTGTCCCGCCAATTCGGGTCATGGAAGGTGTATTTCCAGGTCTTCTGAGATCCGCAGGCGTAGCGTCCAACCACCTCCGCAGCAGCTGAATGGAAAATGGCATCAACTATCCAGTCCCCGCCATCAGCAGATTCAAGATATTCGTAGAAAGGAATGGGTGGGGCCCATGCGGTCTCAAACTTCAGATGAAAGGAAAGGTCGTTGCGTTCCCATGTGGGATCTGAGACATCCCACTTGGTGCCCCAGTGCTCATAGGTCCAAAGGAACCAATCAGCCGAAGCTGGACATGGCAAGAAGTGCCCAAACAGTCCTATTCTGTCCTTCCTGTCAAGCCCCTTGAGAAATGTCTCAAAGGATTGTGCTGTTACAGAACATGCGGCGCATATCATCACGCTGTTGAAGCACATGTCAGGCATACTGTCTGTCACAACCTTGAGACCGCGGAGAGGCAAACAAGCCTCGCCCCACCCGAAATGGCCAGAAGGGGTGCGTGGTGTGTCCCTATGGTGGTCGGGCTAGGCGTTGCTTGGGGTGGGTCATCCTGGGTCTCGACAGGGGGTACCTGCAAGTTGTCTCGGTGGTGACCTTGCCCGAGGGAGGGTGGGGTAGGAAACCCCACTGGGGCGGAGGGCAGGCAGCCGCCGCGGTAAGGCACTCGGACCTACCAGGGGCTTTGCTGTCTTTCTGACGGTCGGACCGGCACTTGAATAGCTCATGGCCGGCACCACTGGCAAGTCACGGTTGACGGATGAACCAAACTAGTACCAAAGTACCTCGGCAGCAGAAGTGCACGATGATACCAGTTAGGGGTTGGGGTTACTAAGTTACTCGCCGGAATGATGACGTAATGACACTGTACACAGCACGTTCCGCCAAACTTGAAAGGCCTTTCTTCCCATCATCGCCAGCACTGATGGACTCTTGCAGCCTCGGATGATGCGTTCAGTGCGCTTTCTGTGCCGGGTGGCTGGCGGATCGCTCGGCGAACCGTTGAACCGTTGATTGAAGGTGACTGGTTGAACGGCAGCGCTGGATGGTCTCTCGGCCTCGCAAGACGTCTCAGGTGACTCGGATCCGACTTGCAAACGCATCCGGTCCAGGATCCGAAGTTCGTCAGCTCAAGGCGGCCTCCCAATCCTTCGCTGCCCATGATTATCGCCCGGGGTGCACCGCGGCACGCGGCACTGCCGCACTGCGGCAAGTTCCGGTACCGTACTGTACTGTCATGATCATCCGACGGCGGCGCGGCGTCCGAGTCATTCCAACACGGAGTCCGGACTGAGTCGCTGGCCATGGCCGGCCGCGCGGCCGCGCGCCGCCGGCCGGGGGGACTCTGATGGTCACTGTCACCGGGCCTGCGCGCACTGTTGACGTTAAGTGAACTTCGGTATCAGTAAAGTTTCGGGGGGACAGCAGTTGGCAGGATTAGGTTTGGTTCGCGGCTGTCTTTTCTCTCGGTCTCGCCGTTCCGTTTGAAAGTTTGGCCACCGGGTGCGGCCCGGGCCGGCGGGACCGTCGGACGGTACGGTCAAGCCTCCTCGACTCTCCTGATTGTCCTCGTACTGAGCCTGCCGCGGACAGCCTGAGTGGCACTCCGAGGCTCCCGAGTCCGGGCCCGGACGCACTGCCGCAGCCGCTGACTAAGTTCCGCCCCGGCGGGCCCGGTTGAAACTAGCACTGTCAGGTCAGTGAAGCGGCTCCTCGTTGTCCTGAGGTAACTGATTTTAACATTGGGTGACAGGCACAGGCTTGAGCCGCAGCGGTCATAGACCAGCCCCAGTGATCATCAACCATGGCCAGTACCGAACGGGCTCAACAGGTAACGGTCACGTAACGTTGACAGTGTGTCACGCTCCAGGGATTCTGAGACCCCACCTTCTTAGCCCTGTACTACCCCTACTTGTGCCACTTTAGAGAAAAGCTCGGAGCTCGCGGTCAATTATAGTAAGCCCGAGTGCAGGGGGGTGAAATGCTAGGATCTTCGTGGGGTAGTAGGTAATCTAACAAGGGGGTGGTCAGAATGTTCCCCTCCCCTGTGCTGGAGAATCGTATAGCCAAACCGTCTTGCTTCCGTTTCTTCCTGGTATCAACCGCGTTGCTGCTGATTCCTACCTTCGTCCCCCTTTGCTTCCTCTTATACCAGCCATGAACGTCGAACTGTTCGATCAAATCGACACAAACGGGGATGGTTTCCTGTCCGTCAAAGAGATCCAACAAGCACTGACCAGCCCTGAAGTTAACGACACGATAAGAGTGCTGTTTGAGACATTTGACGAGAACGAAGATGGCCTCATTTCTCGAGACGAAGCAATGAAGAAACTAGTACAGATACCTGCGGGAAAGGAAAAGCTGATCGAGCATTTCAACGCAATAGACGTGAACGGTAAACCTGTCTGTGATCTGCATCTGTCTTGTTGCACTGCAACACCGATTGTATTCCCAAAAGTCTTGTTCATTCATACTTGACGATTTTCAAACAAAACTCACCTGGATCTGCCCAGGCGATGGAGTCTTGACGTATGAAGAGTTTTATGAAGGCATGAAGGACCAGATGCCGCCAGATGAGATCGAGCGAGTCTATCATCAACTCGACAAGGACAACGATGAGTGCATCACGTTGGACGAGTTCATCATGTCTCAGATCATGATGTGTCATAGTAACCTCAAGTCCTCCCAAGTCAACATAGATCGCAGCACTGCCTGCTTGACCGAGGTCATGCAAAACCTCCGCCGAGGCGACAAGATGGGCGCTTGCATGAAGATGCTTCAAGATGCTCGGAAGCGACAGCTGATGACGACGTGGCCGTCCAAGAAGGCCCTGTACAAGAAGACGCCGCTGAGCGAGTACAAGACCAAGGTGCAGGAGATCTACGAGTTCTACTCCAACGGCCAAGACTTCCTCGACAAAGCGGGGGTGATCGAGGCGCTGGGCAAGTTTGGCAAGCATGTGGACGACACGCAGCTGAGCAAGCTTCTTGCTCAAGTCGGGAGCGAGGGCGATGCCGGCATTGACAGGGAGCATTTCGTGCTCATCACTTACAAGCTCCTTGCAAAGTCAGTCAAGTCGAAAGCCGAGCAGCGACTGGCGGCATTATCCAAACCCAAGAACAAGACCGGAGAGCTCACCGTCGAAGACCATCTGGAGGAGATGGAAGCTCAAGCCAAGCAGTCCGAGGCTCAGGACAAGCCGAAGAAGTCAGACTCCAAGGGCGCAGGGAAGCTTGTGAGGAGGGCATCGATATCCGGAGTTGAGAAAGTAGCCAAAAAGACTTCTGCTGAGCCGAAGATACAACGAACCTCGTCGTCAGCTGGACTAGCCAAGAAAGCCCCTCCCAATTTACAACGAAGTCATTCTGTCCCACAGATCGTGACCTGCCCGATCCGGTTCGAGTTTGACCGCCTAGACTGCAACGGTGACGTGTCGAGACTATCGATGTAGAGGTTGACATGCTGGGTACGACCAGGCGATGGGACGCTGTCGCACGATGAGCTGTTTGAAGGGCTCAAGCACAGGATGGAGCAGGATGAGCTTGCCGAGCTTTTTGACTTCATGGTAGGCGTCTGACGGAAGCGTGTGCAGAGTCATCGGGGGGAAGGGGACTGACATCTTGCTCAGGATAGCAACGGAGACGGGATGATAACGTTTGAGGAGTTCTATGAAGCGAAGAAGAAGATCGCAGAGAAGAAGCCTCATCTAGCGTTTTGACATGCGGCGACCTGTTTAGACTCAGTTACATATTTTTGATGCAATTATTCGATGATCAGGAGTTATGTATTGTGATGTTGAACTTTGATGATGGTGATGGACAGAATGGCATCTAATCAGGATGGCTTGTTGTTCAAGTTGTTAAGTTAGCTTATTTCCATTATTATACTATGATAAAGGTCAGGGTCAACCCTCAGGTGATTGTCCTCGTACTGATTTTTAACTTAGCTTTGAGTAATCACTTTCACTTGAAGCCCCTTTACTCAAAGTTAAGTTAAAAAGAGTCCTTCCAGCATTCCGAGACTTGACTGTAGTGAAATCCCGAGTCCGAGTCTCCCAGTCCCGCCGGGCCGGGCAGAAGGCTGCACGTGCACCAATCACCCCCTCATTTTCCCTTTTCCATCTTCTGGTCCTCGGGGTGGGTAGTTGTTCACTGGGGGTAGTCAATGAAAGCTACTGGGCTTGTGGGAAGAAGATTCAACACACCCTCACCTATAAGCTGTACATTTCAAAATAACAAACAAAGTTTGAATTATGTTTTGGTCATGCTGGGTTCAGCATGATTGGGAGCCAATTACCGGGGTAGGGGGTAGGGGTGGAGGCGAAAAGTTTGTGTAGGCGGCATCATGGTGGCAACCAAACGGCAGACGAGGAGGAGCGAGAAGGAGGAGGGGGAGAAGGAGATGAACGACAATAGCCAGCATGATAACTTAGATCAAGACAAGATGCAGACTGGGCGTAAAGGATTGAGATCGCAAAAAGATGACGGGAAGGATGTCGAGCAACGAGAGCAATCAGTTGGTACACGAGCACGAACGTCCAGGGTCGCTCCCAAAGACGGGAAACAAGAGATGGTAGAGAAGTCCTCCTCTGCTTTGGGACGAAATATGAAGCGATCCAAGACAAGTATCGAGCAAGAGAGCAAGACACAAGATGGGAATGCAGAAGGTGCGAAGGAGCCAGAAGGGAAGGACAATTCGAAAGGAAGCGCCAAGGAACCAAAAACACAGCAAAACAATTCCAAAGTGAACGCCGGGCAAGAAAGTAGAAGCAAAAGGGTAAGGAAAGATGCAGGAGATGAGGCAGAACCCTCGAGTAGCAAAAGAACAAAAGCAACACCCAAGGGTGACGTCGAACAGCAGGTCATGCAGCAACAGCAGCAGCAAGATGTCGACGATGACTCAGATGAAGCGCCAGAGGAGGTTAGCAAAGGAGCAGCACAACAGGCTCTCCTCGATGTCCTAAAGGCAGAGCAAGCAGGCAGGAAGGCGATGGAAGAGCAAAAGAAATTTCGCAACAGGGAGAAAGAGGAGAAGATGAGAGAGCAGAAGAAGAATCCAAAGAAGAAAGAAGACAGAGATCCAAGGTCTTCCAAAGAAGCTCTCTCCTTGGATGTTCTGGATGCCATCATGCGCGAGGAACAGGAGCAACGGAAGAAGAACGTAAGGGAGGAGAAGAAGGTTAGGGGGAAAAAGATCAAATTTCCAGCCAACGAGAGGCCAGCAAAAGTTGTCAAAGATGGTTTCATTCTGCAAAAAATTTCATCGTCTGCTGCTAGAATGGATGAAAGAAGATCCATCGGTGAGCGCGGGGAGGAGCAGGGAGGATTTGAGGGGGAGGAAGCTGATGAGAAAGATGAGGAAAACAAGGAGAACCCCTCTGACGATATTCCAGATAAGGAAGCTTTGTCTTTGCTCGATAGTCACTTCTCCAAAGTGAATCGAAAGGTTTGTTTCTCGCTTCCCTCGATGAGGCTTTATCTTTCCCCTCTATCTGTGCTTCTTATGTCGATACTCCCTTCCCTTTACCACTGCCATCCCCCCCTTTCCCTCACCCGTTCATTACGCCAGGAGTACTCGGCTGTTCATTCTCGCAGTTATGGACCAACCAAGACCTTTTGTGCCTTCTGATTGTCTTTGTAGCAGCTCATGTGTAAAACTGACCAGCGACACCAACTCAGTGCGTGATCATCAACTTGCCGCCCGCATCCTTGAACGTCATCCGAACTCATCACTGACTCGGAGGCTTCAAGTGACTTCCGAGTCACCGTGACTGTACGACGGTACCTTGGTACCCGCATGCCATGTGGCCGACAGTGACTCGGTGTCAGTGAACTGAGTTGTTCAGTCACGGTGACACTGGCTGAATGCTACTAACTAGTAACTCAGTAACGTTCCGCCGGAGTTCAACGGCTGCGCAGTGCCGTCCGGCCGCCGGGACTCAGCCGCCCGGGCCGGGCCGTGAGCTGGCCGCCCTGCCAGGCCGCTGCCAGGCCGCGGCGGCCCAGCCTGACTCACTGACTCGGAGTCAGACTCACTGTCGGGCCGGGCCCGGGGCCGCATCTCAGTCCCGGTTTTAGCACTGACTCGACCGTTGAACCGTTGACTCGCACGGTCCAAAAATATGATATCTACCCCTCCTTCCTACTAGACTATAGGGGGTCACTGCCGGGTTTTGAAACTCCAGGCGCCAATCCGATCTGCTGACGGAAATTTGACCACGAAATTGAGTATCGGTTGAGTACCCCTCCATTTGAATGGCATAAACACCCGTCCTGAATGAAGCTTTGTCAAAGTCACGGCCGCACTGCCTTCACATACTACCCCTTCTATTGACCTTGTAATGACCCCTACTCGAATTAACGGGATTTGCAGGTTCATTATCATGTTTGTTGAACTTCCTCCCAGCCTCACTCGTAGCCAAACCTGATCTCCAGATGTTGTCTACATGTTGTCTACATGTTGTCTACATGTTGTCTACATGTTGTCTACATGTTGTCTACATGTTGTCCACATGTTGTTTACACATTCTCTGCTTATTCTCTGCTTATTCTCCACCTGTCTCCTCTTGTTATCCACTTATTCTCCACTTGTTCGAGCTAGAAACCTCCTCTTCCTCGTCTCCACAACTGATGTCCTCCCTCTTCCCAACTGTGTAGTAACTTGCATCTCCTGATTCACTAACTCATATCCTCTCCCTCTGTCCTCCGCAGTGTCGATATGTTCCGCTACAAACCACTCAATATCCTCATTTGAAAAGCTCTTTACAATGATGCTCCACCACAACAACGTCTATTTCCACCATAACAACATTTGTTCCCTTATGATCAACCTTCTCTCTCTATTTCACTGAAGATCTTCCCATTGTCTGTCTGATACTTTCGCTTTTTGAAGGATGAGTGTCAAGCTATTCGATGATATTCTGCTCATCGGAGATAATTTTCTTTCCGTCAACGATATCGAACAAGCTTTGTCGGAATGCAACATACCGAAGAAAACGATCGAAGTTTTGATTCAAGTCTTCGATGAGAACGAAGATGGCCTCATTTCCCGAGAAGAAGCAATGAAGAAAATAGTTCAAACTCCTGCAGGCAAGGAAAGACTGGTGGAGGAATTCAATGCAATAGATGTGGATGGTAAACCATGCAATGCTGCTTCGAACACTAACGACAATCTGCCCAGGCGATGGAGTCTTGACGTTTGAAGAGTTCTGTGAAGGCATGAAGGACCAGATGCCGCCAGATGAGATCGAGCGAGTCTATCATCAACTCGACAAGGACAACGATGAGTGCATCACGTTGGACGAGTTCATCATGTCTCAGATCTTGATGTGTCATAGTAACCTCAAGTCCTCCCAAGTCAACATAGATCGCAGCACTGCCTGCTTGACCGAGGTCATGCAAAACCTCCGCCGAGGCGACAAGATGGGCGCTTGCATGAAGATGCTTCAAGATGCTCGGAAGCGACAGCTGATGACGACGTGGCCGTCCAAGAAGGCCCTGTACAAGAAGACGCCGCTGAGCGAGTACAAGACCAAGGTGCAGGAGATCTACGAGTTCTACTCCAACGGCCAAGACTTCCTCGACAAAGCGGGGGTGATCGAGGCGCTGGGCAAGTTTGGCAAGCATGTGGACGACACGCAGCTGAGCAAGCTTCTTGCTCAAGTCGGGAGCGAGGGCGATGCCGGCATTGACAGGGAGCATTTCGTGCTCATCACTTACAAGCTCCTTGCAAAGTCAGTCAAGTCGAAAGCCGAGCAGCGACTGGCGGCATTATCCAAACCCAAGAACAAGACCGGAGAGCTCACCGTCGAAGACCATCTGGAGGAGATGGAAGCTCAAGCCAAGCAGTCCGAGGCTCAGGACAAGCCGAAGAAGTCAGACTCCAAGGGCGCAGGGAAGCTTGTGAGGAGGGCATCGATATCCGGAGTTGAGAAAGCGGTGTCAAAGGAAGCAGGCATACAACGAACCTCGTCGTCAGCTGTACACGCCAAGTCGTTTTCAAGCTTACCAAGCATAAGGCGAACGCAATCGAGTTCAGGAATGGATCATTCTTGCAACATTGAACAGCTGGAAATAAAACGAACCTCGTCGTCTGCTGGACTAGCCCAAAAGACTTCTGCTGAGCCGAAAACACAGCGTGCGCATCTTTCAGCTGTACAAGCCAAGTCGTTTTCAAGCTTACCTAGCATAAGGCGAACACAGTCGACATCGGGATTTGAACGTTCCTCCAGCTCTGAGCAGCTAGAAATACAACGAACCTCGTCGTCAGCTGGGCTAGCCAAGAAAGCCCCCCCCAATTTACAACGAAGTCATTCTGTCCCACAGATCGTGACCTGCCCGATCCGGTTCGAGTTTGACCGCCTAGACTGCAACGGTGACGTGTCGAGACTATCGATGTAGAGGTTGACATGCTGGGTACGACCAGGCGATGGGACGCTGTCGCACGATGAGCTGTTTGAAGGGCTCAAGCACAGGATGGAGCAGGATGAGCTTGCCGAGCTTTTTGACTTCATGGTAGGCGTCTGACAGAGTCATCGGGGGGAAGGGGACTGACATCTTGCTCAGGATAGCAACGGAGACGGGATGATAACGTTTGAGGAGTTCTATGAAGCGAAGAAGAAGATCGCAGAGAAGAAGCCTCATCTAGCGTTTTAACATGCGGCGACCTTTGTAGTCAGCCTTGTACTTTAAACTTTCACAGGAGAATATCACTGTTCCTCCAGTCGATCATTCCTCGCACTATCAGCTTGTCTTGTGTGTATAAGTACAGGTGAACTGTCGGGGAAGCGTTGGATTCAACGTTACGTTGATCATTGGTTGGTTCGTTTTGCTGGTACGTTCGCATACTTCTCATCGCCTTCATCTCCCCATCTCTACTTTGTGCTCTTCTTAATCAGTCCTGCCCTGGTCGCTCGTTGAGGGAAGTTGTTTCATCCGCCCTCGTCGTCGGCTCGTTGCTCTCCTCCTGGTCTCTCAGGAGTGGACGTCTGGTCAACATTTGAACCCCTTCTGCCTAACCTTCTCCCAATCCACTCGTTGTAACTCCTGCTGCTGCTCCTGTTACCTGCCCCTGCCCCTCCTCCAATACCCCCTCTTTCCTTTCCCCCTCTCTTCTCTCGCCTCCTGATCCTTATAATGTGGACTCTGTCTTCCTAAACCCTCAGTTTTGCCTGGAGTACTCGGCGATTCATTCTCGCAGTTATGGACCAACCAAGACCTTTTGCGCCTTCTGATTTTCTTCGTAGCAGCTCATGTGTAGAAGACCAGCGGCATCAACATCAACATCAACACCAACATCAACACCAACACCAACACCAACACCAACACCAACACCAACATCACCATCACCTTTCCTCACATACATGACATTCTCTCACATCAGCCCTACGTCTGCTCCATGCGTTCAGACTGCCCGCCAACGAGAGCCGCGTGCCTCAGGTCTCGGGGGAGGCGATGGGTACGGGGCGGGCCCACATCTGGCGCTTCTGCATCTTGTTCTCAGCATTGTCTTCGGCCGGTCGGGCAGGGTCGCCGCGTCCTCGCAGGTTGTACTTGATCTGCAGCTGCAGCTGCTCAAGCTCGTCCTCGCTGTTCCTGTTCGAGTGAACTCCTCCTACCGAGTCGTCTGAGTCTCCGTCTCCCTCCTCTCCTCCCCTCCTCCCTTTCGTCTTCGCTGCACTGCTTCCCGTGCTCGGGCTCGTCTTCGATCCTCCGCTCGCCTCAGCCATCGCCTGCTTGGCGACTTTCGCCTCCTTGAAGGCCTTGGAAACGGCCGTCTTGGTACTTGACCTGCTTGACTGTTCAGCACTACTCACTCCTCTTCCTCTCTCTTGCCTCACTATCACACGTCTAGACGCTGCTCCCCCCTCTCTTCCTCTATAGGCACTATCCTCTTCCCTCATAGTTGGTCATGCTACCTCCTCCTCTTCGTCCTTGCCGCACATGCCAGGTGTTCTCCCCTCCCCCACTCCTCGCTCTTTACCTCTTGTGCGCCCCGTCCTTGGCAGACGTCCGTGCGGCAAGAAAGCCAGACTGCACCTCGATGCTCCACTCGTCTCCTCTTCCCGCTCCTGCTTCCTCCACCAGCGCTGCTCCTTCCCTCACATCGCCCTGTGGTGCAGCGACATCATTTCCGTTGGTCGCTTCTGCCGCTTCCTCTGAGATGTTGAGGGCTCGTAGGTCCTGCAGAGTATAAGAGCCCTTGGACCCTCCTCTCTCTCTCGGCCTACAAGCTCTCTCGCCAGCCTCTCCAGCTCTCCGATGTCCGGCCTTGTCCTCTTCACCTGCGATGGAAGATGATGATGCGATGGAGGCGAAGACAGCAGCGGGGCGAAGAGCACGGGGAGAGGGGAGGGGAGGGGAGGAGAGGACAGGAGAGGAGGGGGAGAGAGCTCAACCTCGCATCCTCGTTGCAAAAGGAAGGAAGCGACTTCCTTGTTCTCAAAGTACTGCAGCAAGCGAATCAGCTCGTTGGGAACATCCAGCGCAGCACAGAACGGGAGAAAAGAGAAGGGAAAGGAGGAGAAACGATAAAAGGTGCACGAATCGAAGAGGGAAAGGAAGAGAAGGAGAGTGGTAGAGGATCAGAATCAGGAGAACTTGGAGTACAAGGCGGAGCAGAGGAGAAGAAAGAGGAGAGGGAAGGATTGGGCCGGGAGGGGGGACAGAAGGGGCGATTGGGAGGGGTAGCAGGAGGAGCAGATGGATAAACACCAGCGCGGCATCGAGAGGTGTATGTCCTTTGTCGTCCGTCCCATTCTTGTCAACTCCGCACTAGAACGTCGGGTCAATCCCCATCATAATCTCCTCCCCTGCTCTGCTCTCCTCCCTCCCTCCTTCCTTCCCTCCCTCCATCCCTCCCTCCCTCCCTCCCTCCCCCGCCCTTCCGGCTCCCATCCCCCTCATCGCCCCTTCTCCCTGCACCTGCAGGAGCATGCTGCATATCCTCATGTTGCCGAACTGTGCAGCATGATGCAATGCGGTCCTCCCCTTGTAGTCCACTAGTCCTGCTGCTGCCCTCCCCTTCGGAGTGTCCAGGATGGCCGTCACGACCTGCTCTGCCCCGTTCTCTGCTGCGTAATGGAGCGCCGACCTGATGGGTGCGAGCAAGGAGAGGACGAGCGGAAGAGGGGGAAGTGGAGGGAAGAGGAGATGGAGGAGGAGAGAAGAAGCAAGAAGGGGCAAGGGAGAGAGGACTCAGCCAAGACAGGCAGGAGGAGACTTGAGGAGTTTCACCTGCCCTTGAGGTCCTGAGACGCTACCGGGGCCCTGAAAGCGACGAGAGCGACGAGGAGTGAGGGAGGAGAAAAGCGAGCAGCAAGCGAGTACCCGTGAGAGAGTAGGACCATCGCCAGCGCATGATTCCCCTTGGCAGCTGCAACATGTAGGGGCACCCGTCCCTTGTTGTCGCCTGCGAGTCAGTCAGCATCGCCATCAAGTCCACAGCCTCCCTCCCCCGCCCTTTCCCAGCCTTTTACCCCCTCCACCCTCATAATTCCTCTCCTTTTCTTTCTTCATCCTCCCCCTCTTCCTTTTGCTTCCTCCATTCAAACTCCCGCTGTTCCTCCCCTCCCTTCCCTGCCTTCTCCTCCCTCCTCCTTCCTCCCTCCTCCTTCCTCTCTTCCTCTTGCTTCCTCCATCATGCTTCCCTTCCAACTCCTCCCTCTTCCCCTCCCTTCCGATCTCTCTAGGAGTCTCCCTCATCTTCCCCCCCTCCCTTTCTCAGCTGACCTATAGCAGGATCCGCCCTCTTTGCCAGCAGAGTTGCGCAGGTGGTCACGTGTCCCTGTCTCCCGTCAGCACCGGCAGGCGGCAGCTCTACAGACTGACAGTGGCGACGGCGAGGAGGAGCGGAGTGTGACCTGAGTCGTCCCGAGCGTTGATCTCGGCGCCCTTGTCTGCCAGGATGGAGACTGAAGCAGGGTGCCCGTTCTCAGACGCCAGATGCATGCAAGATCGACCCCTGCAGTCCCTCAGCTCCTTTTCAGCTCCGGCCTCGATGAGGATGTTGGACGTGACCAGGTGCCCGTACCTGACACATCGAGAGTAAAAGAGCTGCTGGCAGTCAGCTGGACTCGAGCTGGTTACATGCAAGAGGAGTGTAGGGGAGTTCTTCTCTTGTAGTCCACGGCGTTGGCGTTGGCATCGTACTCCAGCAGCAACCTGATATTGGAGACGTGTCATCACAAGGAGAGGGAGCGAGGGCGAGGCAAGAGGGGTTGAGGGCAACTCGAGCGCTAACGGAGCAGGTCAAGTCACAACGTGGGTCGGGGGTGCGGAAGTCGGAAGAGAGAAAGGGGACTGAGTCTCTGAAGATGAAAGAGCTTGTTCATTCAGCATCTCTCACCTTACTGTTCCCGTGTGTCGATACCTCGCAGCCGCATGCAGCGGCGACCTGGACTTGTCGTCGGCAAGGGACGGATCTCCCCGCCTGTCAAGCAGCAGCTTCGACGTGGAGAAATGGCCGTATTGCACGGCTGCGTGAGAGTCAGGAAAGTGGACGAGATTGAGAGGAGGGGAAGGAGGAGTAAGTGAGCGAGTGCGAGGGAGTATGAGGGAAAAAAGGAGTGAGAAGAGGGGGAGGAGAGGGGGAGGGAGTATGAGGGAAGAAAGGAGTGAGAAGGGGGGAGGAGAGGGGGAGGGGAGGGGATCTTGTTGCTATGGGTCCATTGCAGCACCAGCAAGAGCAGGAGCATCAAGAGATAGAAAAGGACGAGGAGGGAGGAGGGAGGAGGGAGGGAGAAGGAAGGAGAGGGGAGGGAGGGAGAAGGAAGGAGGGAGGAGGGAGGAGGGAGGGAGGAAGGCGAGAATCTGCCTGCTCGAAGTGGGGTCCGTTTTCTCAGATCGAGGAGATTGACATTGGCGCCATGGTCAAGGAGAACCTGCGCTGTCCCGTAGTGGCCGTACTGGAGGGTGAGAATTAAGGTGAGGATCAAAGAGGTGGGAATTAAGGAGCAGGAAAGTTGAGGAGTGCGAGCAGGAAAGGATGATCAGGAGGAGAAAGTGCATAGCAGTAGGAACAGGAGCAGGAGGAAGGAGGAGGAATAGGAGAAGTGCAGGAGGTGGTGGAGGAGGAGCACTACCACACCCCCGATCTAGGAGTATGGGCAGCAGGAGAAAGAGGAGTACGAGGAGGAGGAGGAGGAGAAGGGGGAGGGGGAGGGGGAGGGGGAGGGGGAGGGGGAGGGGGAGGGGGAGGAGTATCTTACTTGCACAGCAGCACGCAGTGCGGCAACACCCTTGGCGTCCTGCCAGTCTACCTGTGCTCCTCGTTCCACAAGCAACGAAACCTGGACAGCGTCAGCCCCTGCCCTCGCACCCGCAGCATGCGTCCACCGTGCCGTGGTGAGCATACTGAGCAGCGATCCTTAGAGCAGTCCGACCCTGCACAGAGGAAGCAGTGACTTTCTCCTGCTCATCCTCCCTCCCTCTTCACCTTGAGGTCCACCGCATCGATCCTTGCCCCATAGTCCAACAACATCCCGACCTGTCAGGCAGCAGTGACTCCCCAGACTCCCTGGGCAACAGGAGGTCAACAGTTCCAGCATGTCCGAATCCTGCAGCGAGATGTAGAGGTGTACAGCCCTGCCGGGAGGATCACCTTCTCCCCTCCGACCTCACTGAGTCACAACACCTGCGAGTCCTTCACTTCAAGGTTCTTGTTCCACCTGATCAGCAGGGAGCAGGTGAGAGCATGGCCGTACTGGACAAGCATCCATGGGCATCAGCTGCTGCTGCTGCAAGCACTCCATGTCTCACCAGCGCCGCCCAGTGTAGAGGCTGCCGTTCCTGCTTGTCCCGCAAGATTGGGTTCGCCCCGAGCTGCATCGCCACTCACACTGCCTGCTTCCTCTCAGGACAAGACCTCACCTGCAGCAGGTACTGTGCAGCTCCTGCTCTGCCATAGCGGCATGCGAGGTGCAGTGCGGTGTAGCCATCCTCCTCGCGCTGGTCGGCCAAGTCAGAGCAGGAGAGCGGCAGGTGGTGGGTACGGCCCGACCTGCGTGTCTGGGTGGATGTTGTTCTCTGTGATGAGCCGCCATATGAGATCATGGTTGCCGATCTTCGTCGCCGAGAAGAGATGATTCAGCTGGACTTCTCTTGGGGTTGCCGATACCCCATCCTCCATCTCCTCGTTCATCGCCATTGCCTGTGGCCCCGTTTCTGTGACCCTACTGCGTTATTGGGACATGCGGGATGGTGTGAAAACAGCGCCGTCTGCTCTCAACATCTCTCACAGTGGGGTGCTTCGTGATTTCTGCGCGAGCGTGTTAGCAGCGAGGATAACTAAGCCACCCCCTGACTAAAACTCCTGCCTCCGGTTCGAGATGGAAACGCCAAGAGAGCGTTCTTATCTCGAACGTCCTCCCCTCTCTCCTTGCTCCTGCTTGCCATGTTGTATGTATCCTAGAGTCCCTCTGCCATACATTTTCCTTCTCTCCCCATCCTCCCCCCCCCCCTCCCCCATCCTCCCCCCCACTTCCTCCTTCTCTTCCTCCATCGCGCCGGTTTTGTTCTCAAGCATGATGCTTGTGGGACTCATCCCATCTCATGACCAACTCAAGTCGAGCACAGCGACTGAGCAACTCAGTGCACTGCCCACCGGAGAGTCAAATGCCGGTGGGCCCGGTCCGGGCCGACCGCCGGATATCCCGAGCCAAGTCAACGTTGTTGGCCACCTCTCCGTCGGACGCCACAGTACCCTGGAACAAGTACCATTAGTAGTAGGGGTAGTAAGAGGTACCCAGATATTCACGGTAAGTAAGGAGGGTAGTCACTTTTGTCGGAGCTTTGTGAGAGGGGTAGTGGTGAATTCAGAGGCACAGCCAGTTGGTTATAGGGGTGGGTGGGTAGTTGGTCGAAGTAGGGCCGCGGCGAGGGGAGAGAGTTGCCGGAAATAGAGCAGACGGGAATAAAAAGAGATGCCGGAGGAACACGGGGATATCAGAGGAGCGACGGGGCCATGGAGAGCGGGAACAAGGATAGAAGCTGAGATGGCAGGGCAGGAGGGAGGGAAGGGAGAACTTGGAAGGGAGTGTGTGTGTGAAAGGGGATGTTACGTAGTAGTAGGAAGAAAGGAGTTGCGTTGTAGCGAACAGTTTTAGTATTTGTTCGGTACGAGCTATGTTCAAGAGATATGTTGGTTTGGTCTTTCACGGTGATGGCGATGATTCTATCATCGTTGAAGTACTCTGCATTCCTACTAGTAGCAGTACTGCACTGAGACGAAATGTTCTTGGCTTCCCTCCCCTCCTGCCCATAAATATCTCATGTGTTAATTTCACGATTCCTGTCGATATCATGTGTAGAATGATGCCAAGTAGCCTTGGATACTTTAATAACACTTCTCTTTATATCTACTCACCAGTTCTTCGTAATGACCTGTTGCCTGGCAGATGTTCTCTACCCTTGCTATGGTTATGCTCGATGACGTCAACACCATCAACACCTGGGCGGAGCCTCACAACGCCAACGGTGTCACCCCCAACACCGTCATCGACTCCAACGATGAGCCCCCCTGCAACAACCAGCAGCGCATGACTGCTCGTGCCTATTAAACAGTCTCTTAGTTTGATAAACGATCAAGTCCCTGTGCTCCCTGCTTCTGCCTCGCCCTATTGTCCTCTGCTTCCTTCGAATCTCCTCTAATCAGTGAAGTTTTCTGTGCTGCAGTGAGGTCAGTGTCTGTCCTTGGAGACGAGATGGTCTCGTGTGTGATGAGGGAAGAACTTGAAAGGCTGAAAGTATAAAACATGTGCTTGCATCGTGTTGTACGTTTTAGTTTCATTTTAATTCATTCACTTAGATTCCATCTGTTGGTTAACGTTGGTTGCTGTATCATCTGCTTCTGTCATCACTGCAGAAATAATCCATCTCTTCGTTCTTCTCCCTTGTTCTCACCAGAGCCTACAAGACCTTGAGCAAAACCTCCTCCACCACCTTCTCCATCTCTTCACCTGTCTCATCCATGTGAAACATCTCGTCTTCTTCTTGGGTTTCCCTGGCCCATAGTCCTGCTGTCTGTTCTCAAGGATAGAACCTGCGGCACGTCAGTCTCACATCTTCCTCACCGACTTTCCTCACCATTGCTGGCGTTCACTTGCTGATTCATCTGCCCCACGTGGGCTTGGTTCCTCAGGTACGGCTCCTCCTCCTCGCTCGTCGTTTCCCCCGCCACCGTCTTACAGTGCTGTGCCTCCTCCTCGCTCTTGCCGCCTGCCGACGTGTCAACGATTCACAGAGGCAGGTCGGCGCGCCACGTCACACCAGCGTGTAACCCAGCGCAGATAATCTGTTCAAGGATCTGGAGATAACATGAGCATGACAACTCAAACGAGTGCAATCAGTTCCTCGTCTGGATTCTCCGAGAATTTCTAGCAAGAGGTGTGAATGTCCGAGGGAGAGAGGAGAAGAGCTGGTCACCTGAAGATGGCTTATCTTATCTACGATCATCTTTGCCTTCTCCTTGCTGATGGCTGAGGTCAGCGAGCTCAAAGTTCCTGCAGGTTGCAAACGAGCAAGGAAGGCGTCAGGTCTTCCAACATGCACTCACAAGACATTCTGACCGCACTGCAGGTGAAACTGGACGGTAGAAGGCTCAGTTGCATTACGAGCGTGAGTTGAACGATCGTTGGCAGCCGACGATGCTGAAGACCTGTTCCTATCCCCCTCATGTCAACAACACCACCACCTTGCTCATCAGGTTTCATTGCCGACCTTCCCATGTCCACTGCCTCGCTCTCATCAAAATCGACAGCCGAGGCCTCGTCTTCACCCGACAGTCTGTCAGATCACCAGAGCACTGCAGTACATCCCCTACCTTGAGTCTCCCCAGTGTCAGATCCTACGGATATGTCCTGAATTTTCGCAGTCAGATGTGCCTCCAACAAGTATGGGAGGGCCTCAGTCTTGTACCTTGACGTCTATCGGCGTCTCTTCTTCTTCCCCATCTTCCACGTTTTTCTGTGATGGTTCAGTGCCGTGATCAGATGTCTGTGATAGGATATTTCAAGACATCGGAACAAAAGTAGGAGCGGAGAATCGTTGGAACTCAAGGAAGTCAAAACATTCAGCACCTCGAACGAGAGTTTCTTCTTGCTTGCAAACCCAGGTGACGCTGTCTTGTCCTCTGCCTGTACAGAAGCCATCAGAACGCGAGGCTCTTCACCGTCGCTACTCCACCATGGCAACGGGCTGCACCAAGACATCGGCGTTGCTCGTGTCTGCGCGGGGGGTCTCGGTGTCGGAATCGTTGGGGGTCCAACTTTGCAATGGCGTCTGAAACCCTTCGGAGAGCATCTTGAGGGATTTTCGAAACCGTTTTCAAGGCACAGGGAGGAAGAGAGGTGAACGTCCTGAGTAGCCTCCAAGTCGATGCTTGAAATCTCGTTGGTCCTGACTTGGTCGTTGTGGTCGTCGAAGTTTGTCCACAAGTCCTCCCGACGTCGCTGCTTCTCTAGACTCTCATGCGCGATCCGCAGAAGCTACACAGCAAGTGAGGCCGGAGCAGAGGTCTCAACAGCTCTCACATTCGACTTGACCGTCGGAGGATTCCTTCCCTCGAAGTTCGATCTCCGACATGTCAGCTGTCAGGCAGGGCAGTCAGCTCCCACACCCCATCGCATTCTCAGCTCATCTCCTACCCCAAACTGCGAAGGAAATGCTGTACAGCAAAACGTGGTACCAGAGCCTGCGCCCGCCATCGGGTTCAAGGTGGTAGGACGCAATGGCATCCCTCACCGCTGCTGTAAACCGCGGGATACAGGTCGGGACCCTGCACCCCCCCCAGCTTGCCCTTGACATCCTGACCGTTGCAAGAGAAGCGGAGCTACAGGGCAAGATCAGCATCACTACGACTTGAGCTCGCAATCACTCTGACCTCCGCGTTTTGATAGTCGAAGTGAACCCCAATGCGACAGATGCCTTTGTGGTCCCACTGGAACGGCTCCACCTGATCAACACGGACCCTCGTCAAGAGGAGCAACAGCAGGTGCTCTAGAGCATCTGCTGCGTGAGTCTCTCCTTACCTCTGTATCCTCTATGTGCTCCCCGCGGCAAAGGAAACCACTGCAGGCGCATCTCAGTATCACGGTCAGCTAACATTTCTCCTCACCGATCATGGTAGAACCATGCAAGGTCGCGCTTGCTCTCCATCTTCACGGACACGTAAGTGTGAGTTCGTGTCGTCTCCTGCTGAGGAAGAGCATCGTACCGATCCTCTCTGACGCAAGGACTCGTCGAGCGGTATCGACGAGTCCACCACCCCAACTCCAATCCATTCCTTGCCGCTGCATCTGCTGTCACGGGGTGCGGGATCAAGCGCGCCACAACCTTCTCTTGATGCTGAACTCCCACACCAGAGGCTTGAAAGCAAACCCGAGCTCGAAGTTGAGGAGACCCGCTGCCAGCCTTTGTTCAGCTTCCACCCAGCTGCAGACACCAAACGTCCGGATCTTGTCTCACCTGCAAACTTTGGGGTATCCTTCTCTTTCAGGAGCGTTGCTCCAGACACCTGGAGCATCGACATCAAGTTCAGAGATCAGCATGATGCAGAGAGGTTCTTCTGAACCTTCATGGACGACGGCTCCCACTTGTACCAGGTGTTCTGCTCGTCAATCTGCGTAAGGCAAGCATAAGTTCAAGGACCATGTAGACAGCTATACGATGTTTTGTTCCTCGAACATACTCACGTCCATGGAAGTCGAACCATTGAGCTTCCCGTTGTTCTTCGGCTTTCCGTTCTGATGCGAGCTCATATCGGACCGCTATCAGCGAGCGTCAACTTTCAATGTCCGAACAATCACATTCATCACTTTTGTTGTCTTCCGCGCTCGAACATCGTCGGAGTTCATCTGATCTTCTATTATGTAATCACTGCAAGACAGGTTCAGTCTCTCTCAAACAGCACGTTCGCAATGTCAGGGCACCGCGATCATGCTGATACTCATGCCCGAGCCATCAGCGTTTTCATCCATCTAACAACCTGTACATGGTAGCAGCCAAGACCATGGTCTCCATCTTGAGTTGACCATAGCCACTACCAACAAGCTCCTGACAAGAAGTGAGCGATCGAGCATTGCTTTCCTCTATCTCTTCCCGTCCTCCCCTGAACTTGAAGCGCTGATTCCTGCCCCCCCCTCCCCCATGGACTCCTCGCTCCTTCGAGTATCCTCGCATCCTATCGTACACACTTCATCTCTCTAACTTCCATCCCTGTCCTCCTTCTCCCCCTCCCCCCCCCCCTCCCCTCCCTCCCTCCTCCTTGCCCGCTCCCCCCGCTGTTGCTTCCCTCCTCCACTCTTTCCCCTCATCCCCCGTAGTTCGCCATCCGCATGTTGACCACAAAGTCCACAAGGGTGGTCGAACGGACCCTTGGAACATTCTACTACCCCCAATAATCCGTGTAAAATGTATATGGTGTCATATATATTTGTACCTGAGAACAGGAATCGACCAAAAGGTTTTATTTTGTACTATTATTTTTGTTTTGTTTGTACTTGCTGACCTTTCATTCGACCACCAGCATTCATTACCCCCTTCCCGAGGCCCTTTGACCACCCACCTGGAGTACTTCACCACCTCTTTCACCTAAAAAGTTGGGTACAGGGGTAGCAGTAACCAAAATTTACTTACACGGGCCGGGCCCTCAGCCTCGGAGTCAGACACTGATGGTCATGGGCCCGGCCCCGGGGGGGGCGCCGGGCTGTGACACGGGTGACGGCCTTCTGTGACACGGCCTTCCGGGGGGGCACCGGGCCTGCCCTTCCGGAGTCACCCGGCGCCGACTCGGACTCGGCGGGCTCCGAGAGCCGCAGTCCACGGCCCGGGAGCCCCGGGCCCGGGGAACTTGGAAGGAGGTTGGGGCGCCGCCGCGGGCCCGTCGGACGGTTCGCCCCCGCGCATGTGCAGTCACTGAGTGCCGCTGTGCAGGGGGCAGGCTACTCGTGAATGTGGCAATAGTTCCGATGACTGAAATGACTCTGTGAGGTTCACTTGACCGGGAGACATTCAACTTAACAAACAAGGTGAGAAAGAATACTACAAGTAGTCAGCTCGGGCTCTAGCTGAGCGGCTCGGACTCCAGCCGGGAGTCCGAGGGTAGCGGGGAGGTAGTGTACACGAGTGAGAGTGAAGTCGCTACTTGACGGTGTCGGAAAGGTTGCGGAGAGCTACTCCCGCCTGCTCCTGAATCTTCTCCTCGGGGGAAGAAAGCAGCTCAATCAACAGCGGCAAGACACCAGCCTGCACCAGGTGTGAGCGAGGAGCCAGTGGTGGTTGAGGAGATGGAAGAAGGAAGAAGAGGAGGAGATGAATATGACCTGTACAAGAGCGGGTCGCAGCTCAGTTGTTGCCGAGATGTTTCTGATCGTTGCAGCAGCCTGCGATGAAAACAGTGAGGGACGATGGCAGTGAGAAGCAGGACGAGGAGGAAGAGGATCAGGAGGAAGAGGATCAGGAGGAAGAAGGTCAAGCAGAGGGGAGGAGGGAGGGCTGACCTGCTCCTGCACTTTGTAGTCGGGGCTCTTGAGGAGCTCGGTGAGGAAGGGCACACCACCATCCGACACGACGATGCTGGCGTGAGGAGCAGAGACAGACAAGTTGCGCAGGATGCCTGCTCCTTGTTCTTGCACGCGAGGATCCTGGGGGAGGGGGTCAGACGAGGAGGGAGAAAGAGCGGCAGCGTCTACCTCCGACTTGAGCAGGAGGAGGACTGGGGGGATGACGCCGAGGGAGACGAGCTTCGGTTTGTTGTCGGTGTGCATGGAGAGGTTTCGTATCGCTCCTCCTGCCTGCTCCTGGATCTTGACCTGCTGCTTGTACTGTGCCATCTGACCCTCGTACTCCGGCTCTCCCTCCATGGAGGAAGGTTCGTCGGGGGGCTTGAGGAGGGCGATGAGAGGAGGGACGACGTCGGCTTCGACGATGGCAATCTTGTTCTCTGAGTTGACAGAAAGGTTGCGAAAGATCACTGCCGCCTGCTCCTGGAGACGCAGGTCGGCGGAGCGGAGGAGGGAGACGAGGGGGACGATGGCCCCCTCCTCAACGATCTTGATCTTGCTGTCTGGGGTGACGGAGAGATTGCGGATGGCGACTGCGGACTGCAGCTGGATCTTGATCTCTGGGGAGAAGAGGAGGGAGATCAGGGGACCGAGCACTCCCTCCCTGAGCATGTCAGCCTCCAGCTCTGGGTTCATCGACAGGTTCCTCATAGCGCCGGCAGCATGCTCCTTGACTTTGTCCGAGCCCGATCGCAGCAGCGTGACGAGCGGTGGGAGACCTCCTGCTTGTACCAGCTTCACCTTGTTCTTGGGGTTGACGGAAAGATTGGCTAGGGCTCCTGCCGACTGCCTCTGGACCTTGTCGTTGGTGGAGCGGAGCAGAGTGACCAGAGGCCGCAGCCCTCCCTCTTGCACGATCTGCAGCTCGTTCTGCGGGTTGACGGAGAGGTTGCGGAGGGCGACGGCCGCCTGCTCCTGGATCTTGTCGTCGGAGGAGGAGAGGAGGGCGATGAGGGGAGGGATACCGCCTTCCTGGGAGATGAGCACCTTGTTGTTGGCGTTGACCGACAGGTTGCGGATCGCCCCAGCAGACAGCTCCTGCAGCTTCGGGTCCTGCGACTTGAGGAGCTCCACGAGGGGAGGAAGGGCCCCGTCCTCCACGATCTTCACCTCATTCTGGTCGTTGACTGACACGTTCCTGATGACCACTGCCCCATGCTCTTGCATGCCCTTGTCCTGAGAGCGGAGGAGGGAGATAACGTAGGGGAGGCCTCCCTCCGACACGATGCGGTCCTTGTTCTTGGGGTGAGCAGACAGGTTCCTTATGGCGACGGCAGCAGGCTCCTGGATGTTGATGTTGGGGTTGGCGAGGAGGCTGAAGAGAGGACGCAAGCATCCGTCTTGTACCATCCGTACCTGACAGGAGAGAGTCAAAGGGAGAATCCTCCACCTGCCCCTGCCCCTTGTCCTTCTTCCCTCCTCTCCTCCTGTTGCTCGCCCCTCCGCGCTCCCCTCCCTACTCCTCTTGCTCCCTCCCTTCCTCACCTTGTGGGCAGCAGATGCCGAGAGGTTCTTGAGGGTGTTGACCGCATGTTCCATGGCAGAGGGGTTGGGGGAGGAGAGGAGGGAGACGAGAGGAGCGATCGCTCCTGCCTCCACCAGCTCGCCCTCCGTCTCCTGCGAGACTGACAGGTTGCGGCAGATGCCTGCTGCCAGCGCCTGAAGGAGGTGAGGTCAGGAGGACAAGTTGCGAGGAGGAGGAGGAGGAGGAAGGGAAGGGGAGGGGGAGGAGGAGGAGGAGTCACCTGCGCCTCATCGTTGGGAGACGTGAGCAACTGAACGAGGGGAGCGATGCCTCCATACTCGGCAAGTTTGAGCACTGATTATAGCAAAAATGTCAGCAGACTTCTCGTTCACTGCTCCATCCCTCCCTTCCTCCCTCCTCTCCCTCTCCTCCGTCTCTCCTCCTCAACCTGTCGAGGTGTCGAAGGACAAGGAGAAGAGCGAGGCAAGCGCCCCCTCCTGCGCAGCCGCAGAGTGGGAGCGGGTGAGGGCGATCAGGGGAGCGAGACCGTCGGCTTCGAGGATCTTGTGCTTCATGTCCACGTTGGCAGTGATGCTCCTGACTGTAAAGACGGCATGCTCTTGAACCTGGACGTTGGGGGAGCGGAGGAGGCCGATCACGAGCGGGAGGGCTCCTTCCTCTATGATTCTCTTCTGATTCTCCATGTTTGCGGCGATTGTGCGCATGGAGGAGATGGCCTGCTGTTGGACGGCCTCCTGGGGAGCGAGGAGGAGCTCCATGAGGGGGGGGAGGCCGTTGTCGCTGACCAGCTCGACCTCGTTCGCGGCTGAGGTGGCAAGGGACCGGAGGACCTCGATGCTCTGCTCCTGCACTCGCTGATCCGGGGAGCGCAGGAGGGCAACGAGGGGAGGGATCCCTCCCTCCTTGCTCGTCTCGAGGTCCATCTCGCCATGCACAGCGATGTTCTTGAGCACGACGATTGCGTGCTCGTTGACCTGACGCCATGTCAGCTGCTGCCCTCCTCTCCTCTCCTCTCCTCTCCTCTCCTTCTCTACCTTGTCGTTGTTGGAACGCAAGCAATTGACAAGGACTGACAGTCCTCTCTCCCGCACGATCTTCGACGCGTTGTCGGGGGAGGTGGAGAAGTTGCGGAGGGCAAGGAGCGCCTGCTCCTTGGTGGGGTCGTCGTTGGAGGCGAGCATCTCGAGGAGGCGAGGGATTCCTCCCTCCTGTACCACCTTCACCTCCGCATCCGCAGATACGCTGAGGTTGCGGAGAGCAACAGCGGCGAGTTCCTGCACCTGAGGAGAGGAGTGAGGAGAGGAGAAGAATGGAGCAAGAAGAAGAGAAGGAGGAAGAAGAAAAGGAGTGAAGGAGTGATGGATGCTAAAGGATTGATCAAGATTCGACTGACCTGATCGTCTCCCGAGCGCAGGAGAGCGATGAAACGGGGGAGACCTCCATCCTGAACGATCCTCGCCTTGTTGCGAACATTCATAGAGAGGTTCGCAAGGGCTCCGCATGCATGCTTCACAATCTGATCCACGTCATCAACTCAGTACCGCCTCTCCTCTCCTCTCTTCTCCTCTCCTCTGCCCTTCCTTCCCCTCTCCTCCCCCTTCCACCCTTCTGTCCTCTCCTTCCCGCTCCCTCCCGTCTCTCCTCTTTTCTCCCCCTCCCTCGCCTTCAAACTTACCCTGAGGTTGGGCAGCTTCAGGATGTCGACAAGGGGGGTGATAGCTCCCTCGTCTGCGATCAAATCCCGAAGCTTCGGGTTGACCGCGAGGTTGCGAAGAGCTCCGGCAGCCTGACCCCAGAGGTCACTTCCTCCCTCCTCCTCTACTCCTCCCCCCTCCCCTCCTCGTTCTTCTCCTTCCCCCCTCCCCTCCTCGTTCTTCTCCTTCCTCCCCTCACACATTCCCTCCCTTCTCCCTGCACCCATCCTTCCCTCCACACTGGCAGCCCAGCAGCAGGAGCATGCTCACGCTGACCCACCTGCTCTTGGATGTTCTCCTCGTTGAGCCGGAGGAGGTTGACGAGGGGGAGGAGGGCACCCTCTTGCGACAGCTTGATCTTGATGACGTCATCCGTAGCCAAGTTCCTGATGGCCCCTGCCGACTGCTCTTGCACTTTCTTGTCGGCAGAGCGGAGGAGCGCGATCTGGGAGGGTGTCAGCCAAGTAGGAGACTCGTAGAGGAGGAGGGAGGGAGGGAGGGAGGGAGGGGGAGGGAGGGAGGGGAGGGGAGGGGAGGGAGGGGAGGGAGGGAGGGAGGGAGGGAGGAAACGAATCGGAGGAGGGAGTGGACAGAGAAGGACAAGAAGGAACCCTGCAAGGAAGGGAGGAGGGTAGAGGCAGCAGGGCAAGGAGGCAGGTGCGGGGCCCACCAGAGGAAGCAAGCCTCCCTCGTCGACGATCCTGTTCTTGTTGTTCGGGTTGACAGCGAGGTTTCTCAACGTCCTGCAAGGCAAGAACTAAGTCCCTTCCCCCACCCGCCCTGCTCTCTGCTCTCCCTCTCACCCTTCCCCATAACATCAGCTTCTCCTGACATACCCTGCTCCCCCCCTGCCCCTCCTCCTCCTCCTCCTCCTCCTCCTCCTCCTCACCCGGCGGCCTGCTCCTGTATGATCTTCCTGGGCGACTTGAGGTTCTTGACCAGCGGCGGGAGCACTCCCTCCCCCATCAGCTTCTCGTCGTTGGCAGCGTTCACCGAGATGTTCCTTAGGATGATACACGCCTGCTCCTGCAGCTCCTCGTCGCTGGAGGAGAGGAGCGGGAGGAGGGTGCGAAGGACGCCCTCCTGTACCACCTTCACCTCGTTGTCCGTGCTCGCTGCCGTCAGGTTGCGCAGGGCGATGGCGGCATGTATCCTGCAGGAGGGCAGGAGGGAGCCTCCCATGAGCCAGATGAGCTGCGCAATCCCTCCCTCGAGGGCGATCTTCTCCGCCACGGCAGGGGATGCCGAGATGTTGCGGAGGGAGGCAGCGGCGTGCTCGAGAATCTTGTCGGAGGAGGAGGACAGCAGCTGGACTATCAGCTTCACCCCGCTTCCTTCAGCGATCTTGGGTCTGTTGGCAGCCCCGCAGGAGAGATTGCGGATGGCGCCGATGGCGTGCTCGATGGTCGTCTCGCTGCGGCTGGAGAGGAGGGAGACGAGAGGAGGAAGTCCTCCCTCCCACACGAGCTTGTCGTCGTTCTCTGCGCTGACCGACAGGTTCCTGAAGACAACAGCAGCGTTCTCCTGCAGCTCGCTGTCCCCCGAGGTAAGGAAGGCGATGAGCGGGTGGAGGCCGTTCTCTCGGAGGATGTGAGCCTTGGACCTGCTGTTGGCGGAGAGGTTGCGGATACATCCTAGCGCAGCCTTGCTGATAGCTGGATCAGAGGAGGAGAGGAGCTGGACCAGAGGAGCGATGGCGCCGTCCTGGAAGAGGTGGATGTCACTCTCTGGCTCGACGGTCACGTTCCTGAGGGTGATTAGCGCTCCCTCGATGAGCTCGGTCGCGGTTCCTCGCAAGATGTTGACGAGGGCTGGGAGAGCTCCTTCGTTGACGATGCGAACCTGCGATGAGGTCAGGGGGAGGGGGAGAGGGAGGAAGGGAGAGAATGAAGTGGAGGAGAGAGAGAGGAATAGCAGAGTAGAGAGGAGCAGAGACAAGGCAGTACAAGAGGAGGGAGGAGGGAGGAGGGAGGAAGATATGTAGAAAGGCACTGAGGAAGGAGGAAGGAGGAGGAGAGGTGGGAAGGGGAGAGCTGACCTTGTTGGCTGCGGACACGGATAGGTTGCGGAGGACGCCGAGGGACTGCTCTTGGATCCGTTTGTCGGGGGAGCGGAGGAGAGCGATAATGGGAGGAAGCGCTCCTTCCTCAGCGATCTTCACCTCGTTGACCTCGTTGACCGACAGGTTGCGGAGCGCGACAGCAGCATGCTCCTGCAAAAGCGTGAGGGGGAGAGGGCATGGGGTGCGATGCGGAAGGGGAAGCAGATGAGGGATGGAGGAAGGGGAGGAGGAGGAGGAGGAGGAGGAGGAGGAGGAGGAGGAGGAGGAGGGATAGGAGGAGGAGGGATAGGAGGAGGAGGGATAGGAGGAGGAGGAGGAGGAAGGAGGAGATGAGGTGACCTGAAGTCGCTCGTAGGGGGATCGGAGCATGGCGATGAGGGGAGGAAGTACTCCAGCATCCACGATCGATTCCTCGAGCTCGGGGTCGAGCGCAAGGTTTCGGATGACGATGGCAGCCTGCTCCTGGATCTTCTGTTCGGAGGAGGAGAGGCAAGCGATGACGGGAGGCAGACAGCCGTCCTCCACCATCTGCAGCTTGTTCTCCGGGTTGACAGAGAGGTTCCGCAGGGCGACGGCCGCGTGCTCTTGGATGGTCTTAGAGAAGCTGCGGAGCAGCGCTACGATCCTCGCTACCCCCCCTGCCCTCACGATCTCCATCTCATACTGCGGGCTGACTGAGATATTGCGGATGGTCCCAACTGCCTGCTCCTGCAGCTTCTCCCCGAGGGAGGGGTTGAGGAGCTCGAGGAGCGGAGGTATGCCCTGCTTCTGCACTATCACACCTCGGATGTCGGCGTCGATGGCCAGGTTGTGCAGCGTGCCAGCCGCCTGCTCCTGGAGCTCCTCCTGCTCATGGCGGAGGAGCTCAACGAGGGGGAGGACGCCATTCTCCTTGACCAGCTTGCTCCTGTTCACCTCCGAGGAGGTCAGGTGCCGCAGCGTCACGCACGCATGCTCCTGCACGGCATGCGACTTGGACCGGAGGAGCTGGACCAGAGGAGGCAGACCACCCTCGTACACGATCACGTTGCGCGCCTCCTCTACTGCCGACAGGTTCCTCAGGGCTCCGCACGCGTGCTCTTGGAGGGTGGTGTCTTGGATGGAGAGGAGGGAGATGATGGCGCGGACCCCCCCCTCCTCGATGATCTTGACCTTGTTGTCGTTGTTGACGCTCAGGTTCTGGACAGCAGCGCACGCCTGCTCTTGCACGCGGACGTTGGGGGAGCGGAGGAGCTTGAGGAGCGGGTTGATCGCTCCGACTTGAACCATCTTGACTTTGTTGCTCGCGTTCACCGCAAGGTTGCGGAGGACGACGCCGACCTGCAGCTGGACTTCTTCCTCCGGGGACTCTAGCAGGCGGACGAGTGGAGGTAGAGCTCCTTCCTGTTGAGTGCGAGTGAGGAGGAGTGAGGAGGGGAGGGAGGAGCAGGAGGAGGGAGGAGGAGATGGAGGAAGGGAATGGAGGGAATTGTTTACGTGTGGGTCTTTTAAGTTTTTTTCATTTTCAACTGGCAATTTTCGAGGGACACCAAAACCGGGAAAAAGAAGGGGGGTAAAAAACCCATTTTTTTCCCTCCCGAACCCCCCCCCCCCCCCCCCTCCCCCCCCCCGCCCCTCTCAGTCAGAGTCTGTCTGTCTGACTGATTACACGAGGTGCAGATGCTACGGCAGACCGACTCTCTCTCCTTCCCTCCTTCTCCCTCCCTCCTCTTCCTCCTCCCCATCGTCACCTGGAGCTGCAGGCTGGCCTTGACGGAGTTGAGCATAGCGATAAGAGGAGGCAAGCAACCCTCTTCAACGATCCTGATCTCATTCTCGTCGCTCAGCGACAAGTTCCTGAGCGTGACTGCCGCATGCTCCTGGATGCTCTCCAGCGGCGACCGGAGGAGGTTGACGATGGCAGGAACGGCTCCCTCCTCTACCATCCTCACCTCGTTCTCAGGATCCAGCGAGAGATTTCTCAGCACGACGATCGCCTGCTCCTGTATCCCTGCGTTGCTCGACGCCAGCAGGGAGAGGAGCGCTGGCAGCCCCCCATGCCGCACCACCTTCACCTTGTTCTCTTCATGCACTGAGAGGTTCCTGAGCGCCAGGAGCGCAGCCTCCTGTAGCGCCTCGTCCGAGGAGTAGAGCATGCTGATCAGCGGCTCCAGCCCTCCCTCCTGCACGATCGCCACGTCGGTCCCGGGGAGGAGGGAGAGGTTGCGCAGGGTCATGGCGGCCTGCAGCTGCACGCGGGGGCTGTGGGACATGAGCAGGGTGATGAGGGGGCCGACGGCGTTGGCAGCGACGATCTGCTCCTTGTTCTCCTCGAGGACGGAGAGGTTGCGGAGAGCGCCGGCGGCGTGCTCGAGGACAGGGATCTCGGGGGAGAGGAGGAGGGAGACAAGGGGCTCGATCGCTCCCTCGTTGACGATGAGACGCTCGTTGTCCGGGTTGATGGCGAGGTTGCGCAGGCTGACAGCCGCATGCTCGTTGAGACGGAAGTTCCTGCTGCGCAGCAGGTCGATCATGGCAGGGATCGTTCCCTCCTGCACCATCTTGTGCTCGTTGGTGGCATTGATGGAGAGGTTGCGGAGAGCGACGGCCGCCTGCTCCTGGGTGAACTCGTTCTTGCTCTGGAGGAGGAGGACAAGGGGCTTCAGCGCCCCCTCCTGCACGATCTTGACCTTGTTCTCAGCGTTGACGGAGAGGTTGCGGAGGATGACAGCTGCGTGCTCCTGTATGGCTCGCTCCTCCATCTTGAGGCAAGACACCAGGACCGGCAGGCCGTTCCCGGCCACGATTTTTACCTCATTCTCGGCGTTCACCGAGAGGTTCCGCACACAGCCGATCGCCTGCTCAATTACTGCCGTCTTGGGCGACCGCATGAGGGCGAAGAGCGGAGGGAGAGCGTCCTCTTGTACTATCTTGACCTGGTTGACCAGGTTGCTCGCAAGGTTGCGGAGCACTCCTGCTGCCAGCTGGCAGAGGAGGTGGTCCTCGCTGCGGAGCAGGAAGACCAGGGGGCCGAGCGCTCCCTCCTGCACGATCCTGACCTTGTTGTCCTGGTTGGCGCTGATGTTGCGGAGGGAGACGAGGACGTGCTCGTGGATCTTGGGGTCTTGGGAGCGCAGGGCTGAGACGAGAGGAGGGATGCCGTTCTCTGCTGCGATCCTGACCTCGTTCTCCGGGCTGAAAGAGAGGTTCCGGATGGCAACGGCTGCCTGGAGCTGGATCATGGGGTCGGAGGAGCGGAGCATGGCGAGGAGAGGAGGGAGGCCTCCTTCGGCGACGATCTTGGACTCGTTGTCCGGGTTGACGGAGAGGTTGCGCAGGCTGACAGCCGCATGCTCCTGGATCTTCTCGTTCTGTGAACGTACGAGGGTGAAGAGTCGAGGAAGAGCTCCCTTGGCGACAATCTGCAGCCTGGTCAGCAAAGGCCCAGCAGGAGTAGAGGAGAAAGGAGAGGAGGGGGAGAGGAGGGGAGAGACGATACTCCCGGGAGGGGAGGAAAGGGGCAGGATAGTACGAAGGGGGAGGGAGAGGGAAAGGAGGGAGGAAAGAAGAGGCGACAGAGGCAGGAGGAGGAGACCTTGGACTTGTTCTCGTTGTTGACTGAGAGGTTTCTGATGGCGCCGCACGCCTGCTCGACGAGGACCTCGTTGGGGCTGCTCAGCATGGCGACGAGGGGAGCAAGCGCTCCCTCCTGCACGATCTTGGTGTCGTACTCGGGGTTGACGGAGATGTTTCGGACGGCAACGGCCGACTGCTCCTGGATCGTCTCCTGCGGAGAGCGGAGGAGAGCGACGAGCGGGGGGAGGCCGCCCTCGTGCACGATCTTGACCTTGTTGTCAGGGTTAACGGAAAGGTTGCGGATAGCTCCGCACGCCTGCTCCTGGATGGAGGGCTTGGGGGATCGGAGGAGGGTGATGAGCGGGGTGAGCCCTCCTGCACTGACGATCTTCGTCTCGTTCTCTGCGTTGACGGAGATGTTGCGCAGAGTGACCAGCGCCTGCTCGACGATGTGGTCGTCTGTGTGCTGGAGCAGCTCGATGAGAGGAGGGAGCGCGCCCTCGTGCACCAGCGCCGTCTCGTTCTCCTCCGTCAGCGACACGTTTCTCAGCGCCACCGCCGCCTGCTCTTGGATCCGAGGGAGCGGGGAGGAGAGGAGGATGATGAGTGGGGCCAGTCCTCCGGCCTGGGAGATCCGGTTCTTGTTCTCGTCGTTGACCGACAGGTTGCGCAGCAGCGTCGCTGCCTGCTCCTGGATACGCTCGTCTGGAGAGCGAAGCAGACCGATCATGTAAGGTAGAGCCCCCTCCTCCCCGATCTTCCTGCTGACCTCCCTCTTCATGCTCAGGTTCCTCAGGGCGCCGCACGCATGCTCCTGCACGTCCTTGTTGTCGCTTCTCAGCAAATCGATGAGCCCTCCGAGCCCTCCCTCCTCCACGATCCTTGTCTGGTTGTCCGGGTTCGACGAGAGGACGCGCAAGGCAGCAGCCGCCTGCTCCTGCACCCCGACGTTGACAGAGCTCAGGCATGCGACGAGGGGAGGGAGCGACCCAGACTCCACCACAGCCACCTTGTTCGCGGAGTCCAGCGCAACGTTGCGGAGGCAAGCAGCAGCGAGCATCTGGAGGTTGTCCTCGTACGCTCGGAGCATGTTGATGAGAGGAGGGATGATCCCCTCCTGTACAACCTTGAGCTGGTTCTCCGAGTTGGCGCACAGGTTCCGCAGCGCGATCACCGCCTGCTCTTGGATCTCCATCACAGAGGAGGAGAGGAGCTCTATCAGAGGACGCAGGCCCACGTCTCGAGCAATCTTTACTTTGTTCTCGTCGTTGACGGACAGGTTGCGGATGGCCCCACAAGCGTGGAGCTGCACCTCTGTCGAGGGGTGCGAGAGGAGAGCGATCAGTGGGGGGATGGCTCCCTCCACGGCCATCTTAACGTCGTTTCCCTCCTTCACAGACAGGTTCCTCAGCGTGGCAGTTGCATGCTGCAAGATGTTCACGATGGGGGATCGGAGGAGCGCGATCAGCCCTGACAGCGCCCCCTCCTGCACGATCTTGGTCTTGTTGTCGTAATGGATACTGAGATTCCTCATGGTTCCAACAGCAAGCTCCTGGATCCTCTCCTCCGGGCTCTTGAGCAGGGTCACGAGGGAAGGCAGCACGCCTTTCTCCGCCATCCGCATCTTGTTCTCCGCGTTGATCGAGAGGTTCCACAGCACCATGATCACCTGCTCCAGGACCTTGAAGGACGGGGTTCGCAGCAAGGGGATCAACCATGCCAGTCCTCCCTCCTGAACAATCCTGACCTTGTTCTGATCGTTCTCCGAGAGGTTGCGGAGGGCTCCTGCAGCGTTCTCCTGAACATCCAGGTCGCTGCTTCGCAGCAGGTTGATGAGCGGAGGGAGGCCTCCTTCCTGCACGATTTTCACCTCGCTCTCGCTGTTCACCGAGAGGTTCCTGAGGATCACAGCTGCATGCACTTGGAGCCGAGGCTCGTTGGTTCGAAGGAGGGAGATGATGGCAGGTAATCCTCCCTCCTGGATGATGTTCCGTTCGTTCTCTGTCGTCAGGCTGAGATTCCTGAGGATCACAGCTGCCTGCTCCTGCACTACCAGCTGGGGAGATCGCAAGAGGGCGATGAGAGGAGGCAGCGCCCCGTCCGTGGCGAAGTACACTTTGTTCGCATCGTTCACTGACAGGTTCCGCAGCGCAACAGACGCTTGCTCGACGACCTTGTAGTTGGGCGACCGCAGCAGGTCGACCAACGGTTTGATCCCTCCCTCCTGCACGATCTTGAACTCATTCTGAGGGTGGACGGACAGGTTTCTAATCGCTCCCGACGCCTGGATGAGGACGGGGTCACTCTGCGACCGCAGCAGGGCGATCAGGTGTGGTAGCGCCCCCTCCTGGACGATCTTGACCTTGTTCTCGTCATTCACGGCAAGATTGCGCAGAGTTCCTGCAGCTTGCTCTTGTATCTTCGGATTGTTTGATTGTAGCAGCCTGACCATGTATGTAAGAGCACCCTCCCTGACGATCTTGAGGTGATTTTCTGCATTGACGGACAATGACCAAAGGGCGCCTGCTGCTTGCTGTTGGATCCCTTCATTGGACGAGGACAAGAGATCAACCAATGGCGGAAGACCTCCCTCCTGCACGATCAATTCTGCATTTACAAAGCCAAGATTCGGCATCTTTCAGGCTTCTATTCCTTGAAGTTGCAGACACAGATTTCAAAAATCAAGGATGGAATTGGAACCTACAGTGAGCAGGGAGTCAGCAAAGTTTGAACAGAAGTCTTCGTTCGAGCAAGAACGCAACAACATTCTGATGGCAACATCGCAATCGATCTTCATCACCCCATACCATTGTCTCAAACAACAGCACAGCCAACGATGGCGCAGACAGTGCAGGCAAAGACGATCTTCTTGAGCACCACAACACGGGTATCCCAACAAGGGCATTGCATGAGACGACATCATGAGGAGTGTTACGAGGAGCAATCGAGCACCTCTCATTGTTCTGATCCCATACCTCCTCACCTTCGCTCGTATGCCATTGCTCGCGCCTGTTTCAGTTGATCCTCCTCCTAGTCGACGCCCCTATGAACCGAAATTCGACAGTTTTTACTTAACTATTTCGAGTACTAGATTACAGTTTGCCAGTTGTCTTTTACATTGAAATTTCATGATCAAGTTTGAAAACAAATTTCAATTATGAAAACAAATTTCAATCATAATTGAAATGTATCTGTCACCGAAGATTCTCAGCACCGGTGGTATAGTTTTATTATCAAAGTTCACCCATTACAGGGTAGGGTACTTCTCGTTCACCTATTTTTATCGAACAGGCTTGACGGCAGTGAAAACTTTCAAAGTTTCACTGAGCCGCGCCCTACATGCTGAGTACCGTACCTTTACTCAAAGTTAAGTTAAAATCAGTACGAGGACAATCAGGAGAGTCGGTCGAGGAGGCCGCTTGACCCAGTGACACTGTCGCACAGGCCAAACGGCGAGAAGAGAAAAGACTGATGGAGCGTATGCCAGCCGTGCCAGTCAGATAGCGCCGAGTTAACAAAAACTCTCCTGTAAACCAAGACGACTTACGTGTTTGCGAGGCGGCAATGTAGCGTGTGGGACGAAGAGGGGGAAGTTTCAGGCTACAGGCTAGCCGTCTTGCTAAGGTCCTCTTATGTCTGGATGCTTGGGTTTCACATCCTAGCATACAACGGTCTGTCTCTCATGTGCTCCTCAATTCTGGTTTTGTGTACATTAAACTCGGTCTTCGGAGCAAAAACTGTCTTGTTACAACTAAGGTCGATGTGATATCTGCGTGACTTTGGACTAGTACAAGTCTAACAAACTTGTATTCCGTCAAAGACAGCGAGAACCAAACCCAATCCTGCACCCGGTCCGGTACCCGGTGACAGGCCCACCGGTGACCGTACTCGGAGGCTCTGAGTGACGGACCGTCGTACGACGGTCAGTGATGGCCGCGGCGCCGCGCCGCGGCGGCCCCCGGCAGTCGGCACGGTGCTGATCGGACTCCCGAGGACTCCGCCGGGCCGGGGGACTGGGACTCGGGATGACTGAGCCTAGTGACGGACTCGTGAGCGGCGCCGGGCGACCGCGGCGCGGCGCCGGCCCCACGGACCCGGGTCGCCGGGATCACCGGGACCATTGAACTTCCGGAACTTCGGAAGCCTTCACTGTCGTACGGCGTGAAGGCCGTACGGTGGCAGCCTGTACGCCGCCGTACTGAGTTTCAAAGTTTGGCCGCAAGCCTTGCCAGGAAGTCAAGTTGACTGAGCCTGGCAGCCTAGTACGCCGCGCTAGTAGCAACTTGCCAAGTTGAGTCACGGTGAACTGAGTTTCATTAACAAAAAAAATCACGCCGAGATGCCGCAAGGCTTCAACGGAGTCACGCGCGGCAGTTGGAAAATCTGACCGTTAGGCTCGAAGATGCGGTATACCGTACAAAAGCTAGAGGGCCTGAATGGACGCGCCTAACTACAACCACCGGGCTTTCCACCGAGTTGCTGCGTGCTATCTCATTATCACTGCGAGCCAAGTTACATGTGCTTGTCGATGATAGGAGCCAGCTTCTCGACAGTGTCCGATTCATCCATGTTGCCCTCAATGCCTGGAGAAGGATTCACTTCGAGTCGAGTCCGAGCGGTTGTGACTTACCCGCAATGAAGTTCTTGAGGGGGATCTCGCCAGCGTCGGGGGGGCAGCGCATGATCATGGCCATGAACGCCTCCTTGGGGAACCCGTCCTTGTTGTCCGCAGGAAGCAGATCAAGAAACCAGGCGTAAAGCTTGTCCGGGCTTCCTCCGGTCTGAGATTCGCATCCAGTCAGAGGGAAGATGCTCCCACAGCGAGTACAGACCTTGGCGTGGAGAGCTTCCAGCTTTGGCTTGAGCTCAGGCATGACGGCGTTTGAGTGCTTCCTTCGCTTGATAGCATCTCTCACCTGGGAGATCACCTGGCAGAGCATCAGCATGTAAGCCCCGCATGCACAAACGGGCCAGTCTACCTTCTCCTCGAAAATCTCAGGAGTGTCCTTGGCTGGAATCATTTTGGAGAAGCAGCTCACGAGCTGGTCGGAGGTGACGATGGGACCGTCGGGGCCTGGGCTCTTCACCTGCTCCTCGGAGACATCACAGAGGAACCTGAAGGTCGAATAACACGTCAGAATCTTAAAAACCAAAGAAGCTTCGCCAAGATATTCAAGAGGGGAATGGTGTACGTACGCGACAGCCGGAGGAGGAAGAGGTGGCTTGCCATTAGTCATAGCAATGGTGTTGAGCATGTCATGGACAGCAACTAGACGACCGCCGACAAGGCCGTGATATTCTTCCAAGTCGGATCTGAACTTCTCGACGATGGTCTTAGCCTGATTCAAGTACATTTCAGGAGACGTACGAAACACTATCCGGCTATCATTCACAGAGCTACGAGGCAATCAAAATACCATAAGGACTCACAACAAATTGCTACAGAGGAATCAGCCAACAACTGATATACTATCTCGCACCTCGGATGCTCAAATTGTATAGCGTACATCAAACACCAAAATTCGCGTACAGAATCTGCCATAACCTTGCTTCACCCCTTATTCATTCCTTTTCATCACTTTCTTCCCTCGCGTCTCACTAGCCATCAAGCTCCCGCCTTCGATTCGTCTTCTTGTTACCTCTTCCTCCCTCCTCCCTCCTCCCTCCTCCCTCCTCCCTCCTCCCTCCTCCTCCCTTACCTCTGGATGGACATTGGGATCGGACGACATGACTGATGACGCACAACCTTTGCACGCCAGAAGTTGAACCCACCCCTCCAAATCCATACAACTACCCGGTCCTTAGCAATCCGGGCCTCGGCAAATCGGCACCCGGCATCGGGTTCCGGGGCCAACTGAGCTGGTCACTAACATAGCCTCTGAGGCGGGTGAGCTTGCTATGTGTATTCCCCAACTTCACAAACTTCCAGGTGGGTAGTCCAATAGCTGTTTCAATCCAAACATTCTCTACAAATTTTGAAATATTGTATTTTAATTTAAAAATATTTTGAATATTTGAAAATTTCTCTCGACACTACCCACTTGTTGAGTATTCCTCCTCCTTCCCCAGTTTCCCCCAGTTTGTTGGACCCCACCCCCCTAGTTTATCTATACACACGGGTCTTTGCTGTTTCCCGCCTCCGACAACCCCTGACTTATGACAAGGACGGTGCGAGTACCCTAGCTTATTGACAACCTACCCACCTTTTTTACTGCAAAAGTACCCCATCCGAAATATATCGACACCACCCTAGCCCGAAGAAATTACCCCTACCCTCATGTCCACTTCAATCTCTTGATTCCACTACCCCTACCCCTATTAAAATGGAATAGCCCCCATAACGTGTATACCACCCTTGTGCTGTCATGTCCCACCAAGCCTTTGACAGCTTGGGGTACCGGTATTCATACTACCACTACCCCTTATCTAATGGTACCCCACCCCCGGGGTCCGTGCACGCTCCCCCATGCCGGTTCTTCGACGATGGCTGGCGAAGAGGAGCAGGGAGGAGTCATGGAGGGAAGGAAAGGAGGCAGGCATTGCAAGAAGAGGCAGAGACGAAGACAACGATAGAAAGAGAAGAACAACAAGCCATAGGAGGGAGGATGATGTCTTTTACAAAGCGGAGAGAGACAGTATAGGCGTTGACTCACGATAGGGCTGAGGAGATGAGAAGGAAGAATTCGTGCATGATACGGAGGAGCCAAGAGATCAAGCGTGTGTGGATGTAGAATTAAGTTTGTTCTGAGGTAAGGTGAGCACATTTTTTAATGCAGTGTCAAAGAGTAGACTGCATGGGTATTCTTGAGGTGCTCGTTGCCATAAAGGGATTGCATCGCGATCTTTCTTTAGCAATGAAGACAACTACCGTGACAAGTCAGAATGTGTTGAGCGAGATGAGTGCATTAAACATGCGAGTGAAAATTCTTAAGATCTAGCGTAGACTTTATCGAGGGACTGGTGAAAAAAGAATTGCGTCGTTTGAAGATGTCGTAATGACTGAGTGATGGAGGGTTGTCAAGAAAGCAAATGAGAAGCAAAGATCACAAAAGAATGATATCCCAGAGGTATAATGAATTAAGGGAGAGAGAAAGAGAAGCTGAAGTTCTTGATTGAATGGGACGAGCGCAGCAGCAAACTTTGGACTCATGCAGGAAATTTGAGATATGACATGGATCCTCTTGCTATTGTTGTTGCATTGCAACAAGTTCGTTACTCTCGCAGACTTTCCCCCTTTCATTGGGTCTTGTCTCATGGATTGTATCCCATCTAATTTCCTTGCACTCACTCAAGTCTCTTCACAGGTGGCATATATGGTTAGGCCGCAGTTGAAGCAGCGATGATGACAGCAGTGTTGGAGGAAATGCACTATGCTCATTGAAGCCGTGAAGCTGCCCTCCATTAGAAAGCTTTTGAAGGAGAAAGCAAGCAGGAGCAATGAGGGCTCGTAGGAAAAAGGATCTCTGAGGAAGCAGCCAGACTCGGGGTCGGAAGGCTTCCGTCGAGTATTGAACACCACAACAGGGCTTCCCCGTTGGATTGCATAGATTAGGTTCGCTTGATTGTTGGGGAAGGAGAGAGTTGGCACGGGGTCACCTTTGGTTGGATGCTGGACTGCCGTGTAATCTCATCCTTGGTGTGACCGCGTCAGTCACCATCCTTCGTCAAGGATGCACAGAGACGGCTTGATCGATTTCACGGCTGGGAGTGTGTCAGGCCTCGTTGCCGATGGAGCGACCCATCCCATCGACACCATCAGGACGAGGCTATGGGTTCAAGGTCCTGCGACAGGGTTGGAGTATCGATATCGGGGGCTGTGGGACGGTTTCCGCGATATTGTGAGGAAAGAGGGTATCAATGCCCTCTTCAAAGGGTTTGGCAGCGTTGCTCTGCTCACTCCCGTGGCTCATGGGTTGTACTTCGGCTCATACGAGTGGTCGAAGATGAAGTTGCAGTCCATGACGACCAAGAGCGGCGCTCGCGTGATGGGTGAGACGTCTGCGCACATGACTGCAGGATTCTTAGCAAACTGTGTGGGAGCATTGATCTGGAACCCGATGGATGTGGTGAAGCAGAAGCAGCAGGCAGTAGTTGGCGATCTCTACCACGGTCCCGTCGATGGACTGGTCACGATATGGAGGGAGGGAGGCCTCATGCAGGGGCTGATGCGGGGCTACTGGTCTGGCATCGCCACTTACGGGCCCTTCTCCGCCATCTACTTCATGACGTACGAGCGGTTCAAGCTTGACTGCATGCGGTACAAGTTGACTTCGGGCAAGCTTAACACAGCGCATTTCATAGGTGAGCGATACATTTCGCGCTCGTCTCCTGCATCTAACGTGACGTCAGTTGGTGGTTTCTTCGCTGGTACTGTGGCGGCCATTGCCACTGCCCCGATCGACCTGATCAAGACGAGGATCCAGGCAGAAACAATCTTTCATTGTTGCGGCACGAGGGAATGAATGACGTGCGGTTAGGTTTGCGATGGATACCGTGGGGTTGTTCAGACTGCTACAAGGCTGGTGGGTCAAATGTGTCTTTTCTTTCTTACAACTTGATGACTCCAGTGTTTCCTTCATCCCCCTTGCACGCTTCTTTCTCTACCGCTCGGGAAACGTACCAGCTCACTTGCTCATGGACGTTGTTGCCAGGTGAAGGAAGAGGGCGTCGGCATCTTCACCAAGGGGCTCATGGCCCGAGTGATCTGGGTGGCTCCAGGATGGTGAGGTTGAGATGAAAGATGCAAGGGAGATTGATTTTCTGCAGTGCAATCACCATTGCCGTGTTTGAGGATGTCAAGATTCTCATGGGTGGCAAGCCCTCCCTATGATGGCGGACCTTTCTCTTTTCTGTATTTCTGCGTGTCGTTACTCGTTCTAGTTCATGTTCGTGAGATCAAATCTCATGTGTTTTTCTTTCAATCCACGTTTTTCGATAAGATTTCATGAGATGTTTTGTGGCAGTTTTTTCCTATTACCATAGAACACTAAAGTTTTCAATACAGATTTTTCTATTCAAACAAAACAAGTGCAAGTTATGTACACACCCTTGTTTACAGGAAAGAACAAACTAGAATTAAGAGGTCGGCGAGCGCAGGCGTTTCTCCCCCAAGGAGCACACTCTCTCTCCATGCTCACTCTGAGAACCCTCACCAATCATCAGATTCTGCAAGTTGACACACGCTTGTGAGAGCGACGACAAGCTTGCCGAATCCTTGGCATCGGAGCAGCTCTTCAATCGATCTGGTCGCCGAGCTACGTCCTTCTCTCGAAGCTGATTGTGACTTTCACTCCTTCTGTTGAGAAACCAGCAGAGCGAACCAACAGAGTCGTCAGAGATATGATCCATGGTCTTTGACCGTCTCATCTTCCTTGGAGGACTGACCAGATCCATGTCTGGGTTGTCTGACATTGGAGACTCCAACGATGGCTCGATCCAAAGCAGAGGCTTGACCTTCTTTCCTTCCTTTCTCCTCATTCCTGCAGATCGAAAGTGCATGTGATGAGCTGGCTCTTTTCTCGAATCGGCGATCGGTCCTTGAGCAGAGTTGGAGCTGTCGGGGGACCCGCTGTCCTTGAGATCAATCGTTATGATCTCTTGGTGTTGTTCGGCGTGTGACTGGCGTGCTTCTCGAATCTTGAATTCAAGTATGTATGGAATCTCAACCACAAGAGAAAATATGGAGAGCGCCGCCAAGATTTACCGTCGGCACCAGAGATCCAAATCAGGGGAAGGTACGCAAAAGGAGGCGAAGGAAGAACGAAAATCCAGAGAGATATGTGGAGGGTCGGATGTCAACGATGGAGGAGGAGAGACGGGGAGAGAGAGAAGGAAGAAGAAGAGGAAGAGGAGGAAGAGGAAGAGCCGCGACGGAGGGGGACGAGAAGGGTCAGATGCCGCCAGGTGGTCGTGAGATGCGGGCGATTGGGAGGCGATTGGGACGGCAAACCTACCTTCAAACAGCACCCCTCCTTTTCTCAGTACCCACCCCATGGGGAACAGATTATGTGTCACCCCTACCCATATAATTACCTTCAATTACCCCTCTATATCAAAGGGATTTCTTGAATCAAGATCAGGATGGGTACCATACAGACCACAACCCCTGGTGTTATGTGGCTGTTATACCGTACCCCTCTGGAATACCACGGAAAACCCCCACCCCCTACACTACACCAGGGTAGGGTTGACGGTTGTGAAGAACGAGGCCGACTCAACCCACCCTTTAATTTTGTGTCAATATACCCCTCCATTTATGCTATAAATAACCCCTACTCAAATATATTTTTGCACCCCCACCCCACGTTTTTACTCCGCTTCCATGTAGATTGTCATGGACCCAATCTTCCAACGGCTACCGAAGAGGATAATCGAAATAGCACACTTTCAGTTCTTACCTTTTTGTATATCTATTTTAAAAGCTCTCACCAAGAGGTCGGCTCAAAAAACGCCCATCTATTTTGGCAACCAGTACCCCTAAAAATACCACCCCACCCCCTATATCTCTCTCTGTGTACCCCCTATGGTCCCATGACTTACGCGTTGCATGTCTCAGGATCGTCCCTCTCCCCCAGTTCGGAATAAGTATGAGTGCAGTAGTCCTCAAACCGCCATTCCTTTTCATAACGCTTTCAGAGTAATTTGAAATTACATTGAAACACTTGAATATCTCCGCGGTTTGCTGGTGCTGTAGACCTTACAACAGATCGGACGGTCACGAAGTCACCAATATGGACCCCTATTTTTATTGTTAAAGTACCCCACCTCTAGACAGTGCTGGGAGTATGACCTCAACTGACGTTCTTATCCATCTGTACGATAAGGCGTTGCCAACTTGAGACTTTTAACGCTTCGGAGTCCTGGGAGGCCGTGACAGCTTTAGCGCGTGCCCGCCACCGGGCATCTGCCCGACTCGTGCCGGGCCTGAAAGGTGACTCACGGTTGATACCGCCGGAAGTGACGGCGGGTCGTACCGTAGTACTGATTTTTAACTCAACTTAACTTTGAGTAAACGGAACTTGCGTGACTTGCCTGTGCCACCGTGCCGTCACTCCGAGCCGCGGCGGCGCAGTGCGGCGGCCGCGGGGCGGCCGCCGGTTCCGACTCGTCCAGTTTCGCTGCCGCTCCGACCGTCTCATTCCGACAAGCCTTGAAGCCGCTGAGCCGCTGAGCTGCAGTCACCCGTGCACTGCACTCGGATGCCGCCAGAGTGCCGCAGTGCCGCGCGGCGCGCGGCGCGGCCGGGAACTCAGTGACTTGTGACCGGCAGTTGGAGGCTGCCCCCTGCCAGGCGGCGCCCAGGCTGAGTACGCCCGGCCCGGGTGACAGTCTGTCACACGAGCCCGAACTTCGGAAGTTGGAGTCGACTGGCACTCGGGCCGACTCGCCGGGCCCGGCGAGTCTCCCGGAGTCCGCCGGGTGGCCGCAGTGCGGCCACTGAGTGACTGACTGTCGGGCCGCAGTGGCCGTGCCGTCGCCGGACCGGGACGCTGCGGCCTGAGCCTCTCCGTCACTGTCTGCCTGCCAGGGCCGCCGGCCCGGGGCAGGCTAGGCTTGCGCCGGGCCCGGCGCCGGGCCCCGGCGGCCGCCCGGGCCTCACTGGCCCGGCGGGCCTCAGGCCCGGGGCCGGCCCGCAGTGACTCCGGGGGTCCGGATCGGATCATTCATCACTCAGGTCACCCGGCCAACTTAAACTTAACTTGCGTCACGGTGGCAGGGCGGCCCGGCGGCGCAGCCTGACCCGCGGGGCCGGCCGCGCCGGCCCGGGCCGGACTCCGGAAGCGCCCCCGGGCCGGTGACACCGGGCCGACTCGTGCCGCGCCCGGTGATGCCGATCGGATCGGACTTAGCCTCACGCCGAGTCATGGCTATCAATGGGCAGGGCCCGGCTGACTCCGGCGGACCGTACTACGGTAGGCTCATCCCGGGCCCCGGGCCGGGCCGGCCGGGCCGCCCGGCGCCGCGGGCCCGGCGAGCCGCCACTCGGAGGCGCCGGACTCTCGGGAGTCGGTGTATTCATAGAACTGTAGGGGGTGGGGTGGGATAATCAAGGAAGAGCACGTGCGATCATGCCCAAGGACAACGATGGTGAGGGGGAAGAAAGGGAAGGGGGAGGGGGGGATGGGAGGATGTGAAGTATGGGCTATGCTGATGCTGAAGATGCTGAGGAAGACGGAGATGACCATGGAGATGGAGATGATGATGATGATGATGATGATGATGGAGATGATGATGGAGATGATGATGGAGATGATGGAGATGATGATGATGGAGATGATGATGGAGATGATGATGGAGATGATGGAGATGATGATGATGGAGATGATGATGGAGATGATGATGGAGAAACTGACGGGGATCGGTAGCTTAAGCATAACATGACATTTTTGTCCATAGCCACTGCTCGACGAAGCTCGAGAAGGGATGCGAAACCATATTCAACAGACAAGGTACATACAAGAGCCACGTGGGGCGTTGCTTGACGTGTGGATCAGGCTGGAGCAGTTGCAAGGATGCTGGAAGACGATGAGGAGATAGTCAACGTCATTGACGGGAAGGAGCTAGAGAAAGCCGCGGTAGATATCGTCAGCAACCGCCCAGTCGCATGCTCACTGTTCTCTCTCGATTGCAGGAGGCCAACCGCCATGCGAGTGAGGAGCAGGAGGAAGAGGAAGTGGACGAGTCGAAGCCCAGCTTTGGGGAGATCAGCGCAAAGGATGTGAATGTAAGGCTCCTGACCTGCCTCGATCCCCGAGCTGAGAATTGCCTCCAGGGAGGAAAGATAGAATTCCGCAGGGTTGCTGTCCCCTCCCACCGTTTCACACCTCTGAAAGAGTGAGAAAATCGTTCCCTCCCCTCCCTCCCCTCCCTCCCCTCCCTCCCCTCCCTTTCCTTCCTCGCCCCTCCCTCCGTCACTCCCTCCTTCTTCTTACCCCCATCCCTACCCGTCCTCCGTCCCCTCCCTTCTCCTCCCTCTACTTCTTCTCGGTGAGCATTCGCTCGTGACCTGCTCGAGCAGGAAATGGATGGAGATATATGACCCTATCGTGAAGCACATGAAGTTACAAGTCAGGATGAACCTCAAAACAAAGTCCGTGGAGCTGCGAGTAAGGCATTTACCTGCTGTCACTTTGAATAACGCATCCTTTTCCTCCCTCCTCCCTCTCCCCTCCCTTCCCCTCCCCTCCCTTGCTCGATGCTTTTCCTTTCCGTTCTCTCTCCCCTCCTGCAGACCTCGGAGTATACCGAAGACATCTCTGCCCTGCAAAATCTGCTGACTTCGTCAAGGCCTTCATCTTGGGCTTTGAGGTCCAGGTGAGGAGAGAGGAGGAGGCGAGAGGGTGCTGGAAGGAGGGGCGAGGATGATGTTTTTTGTTATGGAATCTCGTTAGTCTGATGTCGATGAAGCTACTCTGCAAAAGATCTTTCTGAGCCTTTCTGTGCTGCTTGTCCCCCCGGACCAGTTGAGAGAGTTTTGTTGGTGACACCATGACAGGATGCCATTGCCCTGCTCAGGTTGGATGACCTGTATATCGACACATTCGAGGTGAAGAAGAAAAGGAGGGGAGGGGAGAGGAATGGGAAGGGAATGGGAGGACAGGAACGGAGGGCAAGGAAGGGGGGCAAGGAAAGAGGAGGAGAAGACTGGAAGGTAACATAGGCATTCTATCCAGATCAAAGACGTGAAGCCTTTGCACGGGGATCATCTTTCACGAGCCATCGGAAGAATCGCAGGTGATTATGCACCCAAAACAATCGATTTGTCCCTCCTGCTCCTGCTCCTGCTCCTGCTCCTGCTCCTGCTCCTGCTCCTCCTGCTCCTGCCCTCCCCCCCCCCTCCTCCTCTCGTCACCCCGCCTGCCACGGCTTTGGTCATCCTCGTTGACCTCTAGCTGCCAATTTTTCTTTTGTGGGGAAGAAAATCTGCTGAATCAAAGCGTCGAGGCCTCTGGTCGCCTCCGACGTGCAACTCCATGCGCATAATTCCATCAAATCCTCCTCTTCCTCCTCTTCCTCCTCTTCCTCCTCTTCCCCCACTTCCCTCATTTTTACTGAGATTTTCATCAGGGAAGGGAGGAAAGACGAAGTTTGCCATCGAGAACTCTACTCGTACGCGTATCGTCCTTGCAGACAGCAAAATTCACCTGCTCGGTATGAGGGGGAAGTAAAAGAGTTGGAGGAGGGGAGGGGAGGGGAAGGGAGGGGAGGGAGGACAATGTGAAGGAGAGGGGAGGATGCGGTGAAGGAAGCAAGAGGAAGAGTGACTGGTGGACCAGGTTCGTTCAGCAATATCAAGATTGCTCGAGATGCTGTTTGTGATCTGATCCTTGGAACTCCTCCGGTTTGTTCTTATCTTGTTATTCTCTTTCAATGACAACAGACGGCAGGGCAAAGTTTATACAAAACTGAGAACGATAGCAAGCAGACTGAAAGAAAGATTCTAGTGTGTTGTTGTGATAGTAAACCCCTTCTTTTCTTCCTCCGTTGTCTGCTGCTGCTACTCCTCCTCCTCCTCCTCCTCCTCCTCCTCCTGGTCTACAGCTGCCCTTCTCTGGTGCAGTCTTTTCCTCTCTTCATTCTCTGGCTATCTTGCTCCTTCCTTTACATCATTACACATCGCGCCAAACCTCCTCCGTCCTGCAAACTTTTCAATTTGTCTTCTGCTACCACAGGACAGAAAACAAGAGCAGGGGAAACGCCTCACCTGCTCCTCGACCTGCTCCTCGACACGCTCTTCCTCCTCCCTTCCTCCTCCTGCTGCTGCTCCCATGTTCCTCTTGCAAGCAAGCAGCGTCAGCCGTCCGCTCCAGTGGTCGGCGCCTTACCCTCGTCTGCCGGATGCTCTCCAGCCATTCCTCGCGCCTCCCCCAGCTCTCAGGGCAGTGCTCGGGGGGAACTGACAGAAGTGTGAGACGGCCGTGTGATCTCTTCCTCTCTACTAGATTCTTGTGATCTCTTCCTCTCTACTAGATTCCCACTTCCTCGCTGCTTATTCACTCCTCTTGTGCTCCTTCTCTCCTATCTTCTCCTGATTTTCTCCCTTCTCCTCTTCTCCTTTCTTCTGCTTCTCTGTAGCTCTCTGCTAATCCCTTCCCCCCCCCCCCTCCCCCCCTCCTCTGCTAC